CTATGTTAGCATATATACGTACCAGATATTGGATCATCGGTGCTAAGGTAGCAATCAGGAAATGTGCTCACATGTGCACAGTGTGTGTTATTGATAAAGCGAGGGCGAGAAATCAGTACATGGGTCAATTACCAGCCGTAAGAGTGACCCCAAATAGAGCATTTTCAAACAGCGGAGTAGATTTTGCCGGTCCTGTCCAGATCAGAACCTCAAAGGGTCGAGGTCATCATGCCACGAAAGGATATATTTGTCTATTCGTGTGCATGTCTACACGTGCCATACATTTGGAGGCTGTCACAGACTTAACGGCTCAGGGATTTATAGCCGCTTTTCGACGGTTTGTGTCGCGAAGAGGGCCTTGCTATCATTTATGGAGCGATAACGGCACAAACTTCGTCGGGGCTGCTCGAGAATTTGAAGAATCATTTGAGGCCGGCAAAGCAAATGTTGCACGAGAAGTAGCTGAACTATTAAGTAATGACGGCACCACTTGGCACTTTATTCCACCAAAAATGCCAAGTTATGGAGGTTTATGGGAAGCTGGAGTTCAATCTGCCAAGCGACACTTACAAAGAATAAATAAAACATCAAGTCTAACGTATGAAGAGAAGTCGACACTTTTGGCTCAAATTGAAGCGTGCCTAAATTCACGACCATTATGTGTATTAGATGACACAATTGAAACAACACACTCACACCAGGGCATTTTCTGGTAGGAGAACCACTTATTGGTGTTCCAGATATAAATTACAAACACAAAAACATCAACTTATTGACTAGATGGCAAACCATTCAAAGAATGACTCAAGATTTCTGGAATAAATGGCAATCTGAGTATTTGTACACACTCCAACAGCGCTACAAATGGCAGACCCGAGTACCATCCCCATGCATTGGAGATGTGGTTGTCATTAAAGAAGACGAACTACCACCGACAAAATGGTTGCTTGCAAAAATAGTAGCCTTATACCCTGGAGCGGACGGTTTACTGCACGTTGTTAGTGTGCGTTGTTAGTGTGCAATGTAAAGGCAATCATGTATTAAAGAGACCTTTATCTAAACTCATATTACTTACTAAAGAACCTGTTACATAGTGAACGGTGGGCGGTTCATATATTACATTTAGTTCATTTATTACATTTAGTATTGTATAATTTTAGATTTGATACATAGTTTAATTCAATTATTATTTTGATTTATTAAGTTTAAAGATACAGTCCACTTTGCTCATAATTTAGATTTTTTTGTGATTGATTAAAAAACAATGTTTTTGGTGGGCGGTATGTCCAATCGTTTTAAATACATATAGCTATGCGCGTAGTTTCTAACACAATACAGGTCAATCACAAATGTAAAGTTAGTTGTTAACAGATCATTCCACAAACAAGACGTATTTTTATTTGCTCCGCGACGGTCAAGCTAAAACACACCTTAACAGCCCGAACAGTAAATATGTATATACTACACATAATGTACTGCGTTGTATTTATAGGATCATTTTTTAATGTATTATTATTTGCCTTTATTTGTCTTTCATGCCTGTGTCCAACCAGAAACAAGGACATGTAAGTATTTTTTAAATTGAGATAAATCTTTTACGTATATTATCCTCCGTATATACAAATGTACTTCCTTTAACAGCGTAAATGCTGACTTACTACGTGATAAGCGTGAACAGTGTTACCTACTGTTTAAAAAAAAGCAATTCACAAACCTAAAATTAAATTCAAATCAAAACTTTCTAATTGAGAAACATTTAGGATGTTTTGGTTTGAACTTACATCCCTAAAAACTTCCATTATAAATTTTTACTTTCTAATTTCAGGAAGAAAGTTCCTAAGTTGGTTTCTGTGAGCGTGAAATAGATTTAATGCATTCCTTTATAAACAGAAGATGCACACTTCAAACGAAATACGCTTTTGCTCCAAGCGAATGTCCGTAGTGTTTAGTACTGCGAAACTCCGGTCGATTTTCTTCGGTCTCTCTTCAGATGTAATCCAGACACTATGTTTTATAAATAATGCATAAACACGTGCGCAGTCCAGCAAGGGCGAATAAAGGATAGTGACGATTTAATATTACATTAATTCAATCTGGCTATAGCTGGTATCTGTTTCATTTGGTGATATTATGTGCATATGAGATAAAATCACTGTTGTCTTAGTTGGAAGGATGCGCCAACTACCCCGAGAAAGTTAAACGGGATCAAGATACATCGCTGCGAACTAGAAGTATAATTATGGATTTAATACTTTTACGCTTCGTCTGTTATGCGAGGTAACTAGGGTCACCCTTTTGGTGGTCCCTGACTTTGTGGCTGACAAAACAACTGAATACACGGACTTTGTCGATATCCATAGGCGCTAGTGACATTGCAAACCGCTCGCTCTTCTGTCGCCTTTTGCATCCAAACAGATCTAATTGCCGGTGATCTTAGGAACTGACGCTTCAATAATCCGTCAAAAGACATTCAGCCTAATGATGGCAATAAAGACACCTTGTATTCGCTGGAAATTCCATCGCGTCCTATAGATATATCACAATGCTTCGACTGACATCTAGATAAGGATAATTGATGCGACAATCGCAGTGGTTTGTTTCTTGCCCTATCGTAAATTGGTATTAGCATACTTAAGTTTTGAAATATACGGACATTTATTCGTAATACTCTGTCGGATGGAAATTTTGCCTCTGAAAATGATGGTGTCTTGTATTCACGCAGGTACTATATGTAGGTATATGATTGAATAGAACAAATATGTTTTACATATTTTATTGTATTTATAATCTCAAAGTTTCCAAAAGTTTTACATCGTTTAAATACAGAATGAGTTGCTTACGTCCTAATCTCAAACCGGGCCGTTAATTTGTGCTTTTTTGTTAAACTTTAGCATTAACAGTGACATTATTTTCTAATCTCTAAATATCTCTTCTTTTTCTAATTTTCTAATCTCTAAAGGTTTACGTGCGGACATAAAGTGGCATAGTAACTTCGGTATGCTTTATAAATAAATAAAAAGATTGAAAGGATTTAATAAACAATAGACGAATTATTTTTCGAAAATCGGTATAAATTTAGTTTTTGGGGTGTTATTTAAGTTATATTTGCCTCACTAGTACAGCTAGTGTGTTTAACAGTCATTCAACGGAATGTAAATGTGAAAACTTGGCTTGGCTTGGTGATTAAATATATCTCAAGTGAATCGGGAGTGGGAAGCGAGTCCTTTGCCACCGTTTATCATGTAACCCTAATCGTTTGGCTGTTCCTTGGGGCACACTTGAGAACAAAGCCATTGTCATATTCGCTTGGTCCAAATGTTCAGCTGATTCCTGGCCCTCTTTTGTGAATAAGCAGTATGGCAACCACGCCCTATTGAAAGAAAGGAATGATTTTGAATTGAGCCTTGAAGCTCGAATAATTTCTTTGTGACAATTACGATTGAAAATTTCGCATAATTAAAAAAGCCCTCATTGCCAGGTACAGATGATTTGATATTTTTTTTATTTACACTTCATTTTTCATTGTAACATACGACGGTCATAATGCCACACGGTATTTTCTACAAAAGTTATAGAAATAAATATATAAAAGAATTTAGCCTAGATACTTTTTAAACTGTGTCCTATTATGACTATTGTCACTATTTAAAAAACCTTAACGCATTAGGCTTAGGCTATGCTTTTTAAAATAGAGTTTTTCGTTTCATATCGCAAACGTTGCAAGAAAAGGCATCGTCAAGTACTTCTATGCTTTTTCATATTAACCAATAAGAATATTTTATGTTTTCTCCATCTTATTGTGTTATAGTTGTTGAAAGAAACACAGAAAGACAAAGAAACATTGATATTTTTTGTTACATTTCTATATCTGTATCGATAAATTCGTATTACTCTGAGTTCACCGCTTTATCTCTTTCTTTTATTTATCTTATCAGTTGTTTTTGCCACGCCCAGTAGTTTTTTAATAATATTTGTGTTACAATATGAACATTGAAATTATATAGTGCAACAAGATATTCAAATGTTGTCTTTCTTTAATCAATGTGGTAGTTATTTTAAACTATTTACTTAAGATACGCGAGCGGTACTTTTACACGTCATATAAAGGAACAATATTCTACCACACCTTTTAATAAAGTGGGTCCTAGTTACCTCACTCGTTAGACGATACGCAGAAATATGACAATTCCACTTTACGCTCGTCTTCGGTGAAGTCGCTTTACTTCCCTGAGCTTGCTAATGAAAAGGTTCTTCAAGTAACGTGGTAACAATAATGTTATGGATGAATTTGTAAACTTGTATAGACTAAACGTATCCTTCATAGTTTAGTCTTATGCGTACTTATTTTTTTCATTTCTATTGAAGAATGTGTATTCTATTGGCTGTTTCGCCTTTCCAGGTTTCTTACCACCAATTATTTACACATGTTCATAATTTAGCTGTACGGATATCTTTAGTCCATATCTATCTACCTAAATGTCATATCTTACCTAAGGTGTTTTGATGACGTATGTCCATAAATATTATTTTGATGCAGCGGCTGCGTCGACTCTCGTAATGCGGTAGTGTATTTGAATTACCCTGAACTAAATCTAATTCGATTTTCTTCGATTTCTTAAGTGCAGAAGCCACATCTGCGTCCGGGCATACGTTCTGGTCCCTTGTTAGGATTAAAGAGCTCTGTAGAAAGCTTCTAGTAATTTCTTTATATTCGGGCTTTTCATGACATAATACTCCTTAATATATTTTTTTTTAAATAATTATACAAAAATGCTGAACAAATAAGCACTTCGCCTGGTGGTGCGGTGTCGCCAATCATGAAGTTTTCGTCACGAGACTGCTTTCAGGTGCGTGGCTAAACTTAATGGGTAGACCTCCGATTACCTCACTAATTACAATGCAAAAGTAAAAATATATTTCACCCCATTACAGTTCTTCATCTAGTCAGTTATCAGCTCGGATTGTGATCTTTCTGCAATGGTGTGTGTTCTAATTCGCAGAGATGGCAGGAGGTGGTCCGTGGCTTCCCTGCCCTCGTCGGGCTACGGGACCACGCCGGGAAGCTCCAGTCTGTCAGTAAGTGTCTAAATCGAGAAGATGACTACTCTTTGTAATCGTAATAACACGAAATTGGACTTTTAAATTTATTTACATACTCAAATTTAAGACGTGGTAATGACAAAACCCGTAAAAAGTAAAAAAAAAAACAAATTACCATGACCGTATCTATTAATATGTAAATATTAATGAAGTTTCTTTTGTGTTTTAATTCATCACTTATATTATTTACTTTTTACTGCTGAATTAATGTGGATATGTGTTTTGTGGAATACATTTTCCCTTATTATAGTTACGCTTGGGGTACTTGATTTATGTTTTCTGTTCTCGCACACAAATAGCTTTTTCTAGTTTCAATTGCAATATATCGTCCAAGCAAAATACACGTTGCAAATCTTATTTGTATTTCTAAAATGTATTCAAAACACTTAATTACTTTACATAACATGATGTTTTAAACAAAGCATCTCACAACCGACAACATCACTTACTATTAAGGAGAATATTAATCAATCGAAAGCAATTACGATATGATACAGTATTGTAAATGTATAGGCATGACCCAGTTCTTCACGTCCATCGGCAAGAATTATAGCTACTATATGTATAAAATTGTAACTTGTTCGAAACAACTTATCGGGTAGTTAGTTAATCAATACACCTACGAGTACGCGAACGCGTGGGCTTTGAGATTGGCGTTTTTCTGATTTGTTTTGTATTAATTTAGTGGATAACTGGCCATTTCGCTTTGCTAAGATTATTTTATAGTTTGGTACTTTGTTGTGGTATGTGTTTTTTATTAAAAAGTACTATACGGTTTTCCTCGTGGTTTATATTATGTTTTATTTCCAGACATTTCCGAATACTTTTCAAAATACTCCAAAAAAGAGAGTAGGTTCTCTTTTTTGGAGTTAAGAATCAATTAAAAAAAATCGTTTTGCATTTAGTTCGGCTTCAGTGTGGTCCAATAATAATGACTTTGGTGTATGACCTTTCAGTCCGGAGACATATCAGGGGACTCTTCAATTCCATATGTTGCATTTCGTAGAGTACGTACAGGAACTGCATAATTTAAGCCCCCTACGTCCCTTACTATCATCCGACAACTAGACGCTTAGGATCCTATTATCTTGTTGTTGACATTCCACGCTTTCGAACGAAGAATTTCGCCACCTCATTTCTAATGCGTACAGCAAAGGAGTAGAACAGCTTGCCGGCATCATTTTTCCCTTTCGCTTATAATATTACTATTATACCGAGTACAAGTGCGTTTACCATCTAGGTTTACATCTGACCATCCGATCAGGTAGTAGCCGAGCACAAAAGAAATCAAATAGAAAATTTGGATGGACGGTAGCGATTAGTGATATACATGTTGGAGACGGTGATATCCCTTATCACAGGACGGACCACCGTCACCACATGCATGTGCTTGGTACATGTTCCGTTTTCTTTACCAGTATCATCAAAGTTGTGTGTGTTGCCCAAGTTGTAATGTGTGCACAACAAGGTAATTTGCTAGCGTTAGTTTTTACGTCTAACTTGAATGCGAGTGTCTTCAGGCAACTACTCTAAGTAAAATGGTTTACACTACTATTAGCCGGCATACTGAGTATGACAACATTACTGGTTATTTACTATCAGTCTGTTTAGCGTACAAACACCAGCCACTTGCGTTTTGAAAGAAAATTTTTAACATGCTCATCAAAGGAGCACTGTAGTTAATTCTTTGATTACGATTATTAGTATATGTTAAGCCTAGTTAGTGAATATCAGCAATTTATACATATTTACTAATATGAATGATGATGATAACGACTTTCCTTTAAATGATGAAGGTAGTTTATTCCAGTTTGAGTATCTATTCTCCATGATAATGTTTCTTTAATTTTACTAAAGCCAAACCATTCTCTGTTGGTTTTTAAATACTCTCTAGTTCTACGTCAATTCTAAATATGCTTTGCTGACCTTATTTTTTTATCGCTGTGTTTTTAGAAACGTAAATAACGATTAATAAACAATTTGAGTTCAAAGCAGTGCATCATCGTTCTTGCTGATTTGTTTGTTGTTACAAATAGGTTATCTTTGCTCAGCATTTTGTTTATGCTAACCTCAAAGTATTGTAGGCGCACCACAAGTTTGTTAAAACGTTGTGTGATAATTTATATTTAGACCCATACTAAAAATTTTAAAGCGCTTATATCTCCACTTGAGATTAAACATTGAAATTTGTAGAAAAAAGGAGGAAAAGTTTTTCTCCGCTGCGGGAATCGAACCTACGTCTTCCGGTTTTGCGTCCAGAAGACGCGAAATTTTGACTCCGCCCAGTTTCTGAAACATTGATCATCATAGAAATTAACAAATCAGAACGATCAATTCAAAGAGTTTAACCATCCTTTTGTTCACACAAATACATTTGAAAAGCCATTTGAAAGTTAATTTCTATGATGCTGGTCATCATAGAACTTAACTAATCATCTATGTTTCAGAAACCGAGCGTCATACTGCATAATTTTAACTCTGTCATTGTATAAAATTTACCGCCGGTTTCCCCTTAACCGCTTCCGCTTATCGCTATCCGCGATGGAAGCGGTTTAAACGCCGTTTTAGTGGCCCGATCGGTAATAGGCAATCAAAGTTACGTTCAATAGAACGTAACTTTGATTGCTCCGAGAAAAGACTTGCTTGTGATTCATTTGCTTAGGATAAATAGCTGCGATAGCTCAGTGTCCGGGCGCGTTTAATTCAATATACTCGAGCAACCTGGGTTCGATCCCCAGTGCCGGCACCAATGAAATTGTTAATTTTAAGTGCTGATTTATCACATGCTCAGTGGTGAAGTTAAACATCATGAGGAATCCTGCATATTTCCGAAATAATAACAAAAAAATGCTTCGAAGATATGTGATGTCCGCCACTGCGCAGTGGGGCCGCGTGGTATGCCGTAATACCCTCAGTACAGAGGAGGCCTTTGCCCAGCAGTGGGACATGCATAGGCTATTACTTTACGGCAACCTTTTGTGGTTGAATTGACATCAATAAATAGTTTAATAGATCTTTATTTTTTGTCACCTTTTAAACGAAAGAAAAAGAAATCGTATTGTTTAAATCCAAAATAGGGAGTAGTCTGACAGCGTCCACATAGTATTAATATCAAGATGGCTATAAACATCATTCAGAGATTATGATTACTCCGTTGCTCCTATTTCTAAGCAATGGACTGCAGTGCCTTATGTGGTTTCGATTGCCATTTTGCACAAATATCTACGGTTAACTGCTAATTGTTCTATAAACTTCAATTCTCTTCTGATCTTTGTATAAATATGGCACTTTTCTAGATAACTCAGTTCTCCGAAACGATCTTACAATATTCAGACGAGATTCGCCCTTTATAAATTTTGAAATTCTTCAAAAATCCTGCATATGCTCGGAACAAAATAGTATTCTTTTTATAATGAGGGAACATTAACAAACATTAACCGAAAATATACCAAAATTCTTGTGAAAAACAATCAGTCTTTACCTAAATTGTCATGTTTGTCTACACTTGGATGTCGGCATCTAAAACTTGTTGAAGACACATCTATACAAATTGAATACTTGCATAGACGACGCTGTATTAGCATCAGATGTTGATTTCCTTTGAATTGTCCCAAATATTCTTGCGAGTTGGGGAAATTCACAAACTCGGTATTTCCAACTTTAGTTCTTTGCTCGGAAGTGTAAAACAATGTGTTGATCGACTTGTTTTCGTTAACCACCGTTATTGAAAGAAAGAAAGAAAAAAATAGAACTCTTTATTATACATCACTTACAAACAAATATTAAATCAAAAGATACAAGAAAAACACTAATGTAACGTCAAATTGGAACTCCATTTCAGCAAATTGCTGCAGTTCTATTGTACCGCAGCGCTGATTTTCAAATTGAGCCTAAGGTTGACAGTGCGGGCTAAAATACTAATAATATTAATATTAAAAAGAAAATTAATAAAAGGAGAGGAAAACATAGACATTGATAGTATAGTTTTAAGGTCTCATTTCGCTTGCGCCGAACACAATGCGCGTGGATGCGTCGAACGAAAACCACGCGTCAATTAGCATTTTCAACGCGCCAGGTGATTTGTGTACTGTATTTTCGTGCGACCGTGCATTCTTTGCCACCGTCATGGCATTCGGTGCTCTATGCTGTTGCGTTAGAGTTCAATTTGATGTCCCGATATCAGTTTGATCTTGAAATCGGTCCAAGAAATTGTTATCGTCGACGTCGGGCGTTGATAAACACGAGAGGCTGCGGTTGAGGTTCCAAACGGTTTGATATCTGGACGTTTAAAGATCGAAGTCGATATAATAAGAAGTTATTTAGAAGTAGGGACTAAGTGGGACAAGGAAATGTTCGTTGTTCAAATCGTTCACTCGATGGTCAGATTATCATGTCACTTGGCACGTTGTTGCGAGAGTCTAACTTCAGTGGACGATATAAGGTGAGGGCGTTTGACAGAGTGGTAAAAAAAACAAATTCAGTAGTTAGCTGATTTCAATTGTTTTTTTAATCCGAAAAGTTGCCAAACGAGCAGACGGGTGGTCACCTGATGTTAAGTGAATATCGAAATCTGCTACATCCGAGGGTTACAGATGCGTTGACAACCTTTTGAAAATTGGGCTCCGGCTACCTCACTCACCAGACGAAACGCGAAAGTATTTGTCATACTTCCACTTTACGCTGGTCTTCTGTGGGGTCGTGGTACTTACCCGGACGGGCCTGCCCATTCGTGCAACAGTGGAGAACGTTGCGAGTCCCTATCACAGTTGAATTGGTTGAAATGTGCAACTAACGTATTGGGGGTGGTAATAATAGCTTTTGCAACAATTTTTCATGAGACGTTGATGTTTTTCTGTTACTCACTTTCGTACACTTGTCCACAGTGGGTGATTATATACCCCAATTATCTCTTTAAAAGTAATGAAACAAGCTCTATGATAGATGGACAGTTTTTTTTATCAATAGTAGAATTATTCATCGTGGCACTAATTTTTTTTTTAAATTCAAAAACTGGCTAGCACTTGACTGCCATCCCACCTGATGGTAAGTGGCGATGCAGCCGTTGATGGTAAGCGCGCTAGCTCAGTAGAAACCTATTGACTCTGCAGGCAGGCTATTCCATTCCTTAGCTGTACGGATGATAAATGAAGAAGCGAATCGCTTTGTTCTTGTACGTGGAACGTCGACAGCATAAGGGTGGAGCCCCGCCGAACGCCTGGTTGTCCGATGATGGAAAGGGGCGGGAGGAATAAGATCATGTAACTCCAAATCACACTCTCTAATATTTATCTAATTAAACGTTGACACGAATCTTGTGAATGAGGCTGGTGGCTGAGACATTCTCTGGCAGAATCATTCTCGACAAGTCCAACTGTTGAGTGATGGCGAGATAAAAGAAGTAGCTGTAATAGTAAATAAGAAAAACTTAAAAAACTTGATTTATGTATTAATTTTACAATAAATATATTAATACATACAATAAAAATGTCACAATAATTATAATAAATACAATTATAACACTACATGCAAATATACATAAATATCGACAAAGTATATAATTGTAATAAATGGTATCAAACGTCCCAGAAGTAGTTCCGTACTTCGCTGTGTCCAAACTAACAAAAGAAACATCAATCAAATAAGATCTCGATAAAAATGACGAAGGAACGGTCTATCGTTGCCGGACATGCGCACTTGTCAGATACATCGATGTCGAAGTCTTCGTTATTTGGTATTCGTGATCGACATGTATTCGTGATCAATCTGTATTCGTGGTAAGGAATTGGTCGTGTAAATGATTTTCATCATTCGCAAGCCTACAGGGTTACATTAACTCGGCGATTAATAAATAAACATTTACGCCCGGTATCTGGAAGCTGATCATCGTAGATGTCAACTGAACAGCTGTCAAATGGCTTTTCAAATTTCATTTTAGTTGCAAAAAGGATGGTTTAACTCTCTGAATTAACCAAAATGATCTTTTTAATGATCAGAATGAGCATCTCAAAGAGTTTAACCATACTTGTGGCAACTCAAATAACATTTGAAAAGCCATTTGACAACTGATCAGTTGACATCTACGATGATCTGTCTTACAGAAATCAGGCGTTTAGAGACATATTTTTACAAAACGTTATCCCAAAAGTATCCCATCTATTCTTATGTAATTTACATCACATAAACAATATCAAATGTCCTTTCACAACGATAATATGAACGAGAGATGTCGCTTTGAAAAAACGTTTTTTATATATAGTATGTTCACTAACGTCAGTTGCAAACAGCAAAATGGGTGTTGAATCAGTCTAAGTGTATGGTAAGGGACGCAAAATAAGTTTTTTTTATGCAAAAGGAGGCAAGTGGATCACCTGGTGGTAAAAGAAGTCTATCGTGCAGAGAAATACCGAGCATAACCCACTCCAAAGCTCCGCAGGCTCTGTCTCCTTTGAAGATTTACGCATTTCCCAGGACTCAATCCAAGCGCCATCGATTAAAGCCAATGCGGCCAAATTTTCAAAAGGTTGTCAACGCATCTGGAACCCTCGGGTGTAGCAGATCTACATGGGCGGCGGTATTCACTTAACATCAGATGAACCGTCTGCTCGCTTGGCAACTTTTCACATAAAAAAAATACATGATGGACAATTAGATTCACTGTACACCTTTCGCACTGTTGCAGTCGCAATGCTCATCCCAAGAGCGGCTCCTGGCGGTGCAGGGCGTGTGCGAACCGCCCCGCGCCCCCTGCCCCCACTGCCACCAGCACCAGAACTCGCTCAAGTAAGTTGCTACTTGTAATAGAAAAAAGGAACGAAAAGTTTCTTGCCGCCGTGGGAATCGAAGCCACGTCTTCGGGATTCGCGCCCTGACGCTGTAGCCACTAAGCTAAACAACGGCTGATTGCCGTACCGACGAAATTCTCAACGTCCTTTAGCTACATTGCTTTTTTTGTGAAAACTTGGCAAGCATTAAGTTGACCCTGGTTACCTCACTCACGAGACGAAATGCAGAACTAGAACATTGCCACTTTACAAATGTTAGCCTGTTAATGTTCTTCACATATTCACACATTGAGCCTGGAATAAATTACTATCTTAGCAATAAGGCCGCCTGTGTGTATATTATGTTTCCTGTATTGAAGTAAATCTTCTTTAGGCGCGACTAGCGAGTAACTCAGATTTTTTTCTGACGGAAGTAACGCTTTTTCTGACGGAAGTTACGTCATAAGTATATGTCATATTTTTAAAATATGACATATACTTATGACGTTACTAAATATTTAATCATTTCAGTGACATATGCCGTCAACGCCAAAGAAGTTTTACTTCAATCGCGCGTAAACGTTACACGCACACACTTTTTTTTTCTTTTTCTTTCTTTGTATTTCCTTGTGTGCAATAAATCAATTCTATTCTATTCTATAAATTAATTCGCTTATATTGTTGCTTTAGATTCGTTTAGAGAAATTAAAAAACTTTAGGCCATTACATTGAATTGGACCGTGCCCATTTTTAGGGCTCAGTACTCAAAGGGTAAAACGGTACCATATTACTAAGACTCGACTTTCTGTCTGTCCGTCTGTCACCAGGCTGTATCTCATTAACCGTGATAGTTAGACAGTTCAAATTTTCAAAGGTAATGTATTTCTGCTGCCGCTATAGCAACAAATACTAAAAAACAGAATAAAAAAGTTTAAGTGGGATTTTATAGATAACGGTACGGCGTACGGTGCGTGAGTCCGACTCGCACTTGGCCGGTTTTTTCGTGTATCGTTGACCGGAATCAAGGTCGGCGGAGGTCGTTCGATATCCACCGATGAGTTTGCGGGAAGACTTTTCGCATGATCGCGAAGACGGAAGCCCGTCATTCTATCCGAGGTCAATTCTAACTGCGAACGGAAGCGATAATGGCCCAATTGAACGGAATTTATCGGTGACGATGCGGAATTTATTGGTTCGAAGAGCGCGCGTGGCGTGTCGTTCCGAACGATATTGAAAATCCTGAAGCGTTAGTATTTATTTTCGAAAGAGAATCTCTTTCTTCTTCAAAAAAAATGAAGAAGAAACAAACGCTGATACCGTGTTGTTATTTTTTTAATAAGGGCTTAAGGCTATTAATGACTTTATAATCTACCAACAACCTTCAACTTGATGGATGAAACTTTACAAACCTATGTATTAATTACGGTGGTAGGGCCACGAAGCAGCGTCGGCTGTTGCACGAATGGGCAGGCCCGTCCGGGTAAGTACCACGACCACACAGAAGACCGGCGTAAAGTGGAAGTATGACAAATAGTTTCGCGTTTCGTCTGGTGAGTGAGGTAGCCGGAGCCCAATTTTCAAAAGATTGTCAACGCATCTATAACCCTCAGCTGTGGCATATGTCAATGGGCGGCGGTGTTCACTTAACATCAGGTGAACCGTCTGCTCGTTTGGCAGCTTTTCGCATAAAAAAAAATTACATATAACCACAATGACGCTCGCCGGGTTCTGGTAATTTTTTGATTTAAATTTTAAACCAACGATATTTCTAAACAGAGTGAGAGCACACATTAAAAAATTTCGTTGTAATGCTACAAAAGGGATAGCGCTATTAGAGCAATAAGAAAAAAGAGACGGCAAGTGTTTGTCACTTTAGCATACGAATAAAAATCTTGAGGTGCTGTTGTTTAGAATTAACTAAGAATTTTCTTAGGAACCTTTCTCGTCTCCGCATTAAACTTATTTGCTGTATCTTTCTTTATTTGTCTCTTCACTCCGGGCGCGTCTAATAACACATCTGACAACGTCTAACAACACATCTGACAACGTCTAACAACACATCTGTAGTATAAAATATTTTATTTAAACTAACACTTGCTAAGCAGAGACGCTAAACCAAATTGTGGAAAGCGTTCGCTTCGATTCGCGTTATTTCAAGCCTGTTTGTTTCAAGCATTCATGAATGTTTTTTAATATTAATTTTATTTTTAGTACTAGTCTCTGCGTTCAAGATGAAACTTTTAATTTACAATTGACGACGCAGGTTCGAATCGCACATCGTCGAAAGTTTTTGTTCATTTGTCTGCGAAAATTTACAGTTTAATAATTTATGAATGTTTTTTTTCTCGCAGTAGTTCTCAGGGCTCCGGGATGAACTGGGCGTCGCTATCCGACAGCGGGGGCAGCGGCCACGCCGCCAGGGCCCCCTCGCCCCGTCCCGCGCCCCGCCGCGTAAGGAGTCGCAGTCTCAGGTTCGACTCCCTAAACGCTGCTTGATTATTTGCATCGCCAAAGGAGTATGTAGTTTTGGCAGCTTGAGGCATTTCGATCGCTCATTCCTTATATCGATGATTGAATCGCTTACCCCTGCGTGAAGAATAATCGTAAAGAAACCACAATTGGGTACATCTATTAAAAAAGTAAAGAAACAGCCTGTACATGTCCCACTGCCTGGGTGAAGGCCTTCTCTTTACGGAGGGCATTAGAGTATAGTCCACCACGCAACACCACTGCGGATTGGCGGCAAAACAATACAATAAAATTCAGCACGTGACCCTAATGTCCTCCCCCAAGGAGGCCGCTACGCTTTTGATTTAAAAAAAAAACTCCCTCTAAGATTTTTTTTTTGGATAAGTATCATCGACATCGTTGAGTAAATAATGATTACGGGAATCTACCGCGTACTCTCGAAGTCGACGGAAGCGGGTGGTTCGGGATCGTGTTCCGTGGCAATATGTGGGGGAGGCCTGTGTCCAGCAGTGGACTCTTATCGGCCGAAATGATGATGATGGAGATAGTGATAATGATGGTGGTGATGGTGATGATGATGACGAATGTAGTTCGCCGTCGCGTTCGCCGGGCGGCGGCTCCGGCGGAGAGAGTGCGCGCGAGGACGCCGTGACAGCTATGTCGGCCCTCTTCGCGGCGAGATTCCCCGCCGCCCAGAAGCACATGGATGACAGGTTTGTCATATTTGAATTGTTCATGTCACATGTAACGACTATATATGTACATTTGGCAAACATGCCTACGTGCGTGCGTGCGTGTGTGCTTGCGTCCGTGTCCGTTTTTTTTGTATCTTTCTGTATATTATTTCTTAACGGTGTTTTTTTTTATGTTCGAATACCATAACTTCCATATAGTGATGTTTAATAATATGGATAAGGCATATCCATTCTGCGCGGCGTTTAAAAAAATTTCCGCTTTACATTAGGTGATATATGTATAGAACGATAAATCAATAACGATAAGAACGATAATCCAATTACACCAATTGGTGTTATTTGAGTGCCTCAATTTCGGTGAGCTAGTGTCGTATCTACCTCGTATTAGTGAACACCTTCATCGCCAAATGTAATGTGCAAATATCAATTTGCACATAACTGTTAGCCGTGTGGTTCGCGTTACTGTACTACTATCCTTAATTTTAATGAACTATTGTCCTTACATTTGACAGACTTTGCGCCCTCATCGAGGAGTTGCTGGAGCTTGACAAGAAGCCAGATCGGCCGCCCATTGAGAGATTTGTTCAGCGCCAGGTGAGTTTTTTTTTAATGGCCAGCGCTCGACTGCCATCCCACCTGATGGTAAATAGCGATGCAGCCGTTGTTGGTAAGCGCACTAGCTCAGTTAAAACTTTTTTTTTTTTAATTTAAATTGTTTATAGTGCTAATCTTTGCACTTAAGATTGAACATTAAAATATCTAGAAAATCTTAACTGTGGAGGAATGCGTTAAGATTTTCGTCGGTGTGGTAATCAGCCGTTTAGCTCAGTGGCTAGAGCGTCAGGCCGCGAATGCCGAAGACGTGGGTTCGATTCCCACAACGGCGACAATCTTTTCGCACTTTTTCTACATATATTAATCAGTTAAAACCTGTTCACTCTTGCCCCGAAGTCGCCTACGTTGTAATGGGACGGAAAGACGGACAAGTTGTATTTGCATACTGTGTGGTAGCGGATGGGTTGTAAGTCGCAACGTCCACTGCGACCTAGACGATCTATTGTTGTTTTCCCTTCGAAAAAATTGCTACCTTACTGTAGGACAACATTATCCTGTCTTGTAAGGACGTTATACATACGTAAATTTCATGTGAAGAATACTCAGATTCGATGCAATTATTAATTTAAATTAGAAATATTTGTATAATTCACGATAATTTATGATTGTTACGTAATTCTATGATAGAGATAAACTATTCTCATTTACGTCAAGAATATTTATTTATTTATTTTATTTACTTCACCAACAAGATAAACATCAAAACAAGCTTAAAACATAGTATCTTAAACTAAATGGTATCTCAATTACAGGTGAAACGACATTCAAAAGTTATTATATTGACAACTGCTAAAAAAAGAATAATTAAAAATAATAATAATTGAAGTATGTTAAATGCTAACAAAGAATTAATACAGTAGTTGACTGACTTTACACTAAAATAAACATATTATCAAATTATATGAAATATTCACATATTAATACGAAAAAGAGTGCGTGCAACATTTACACGCGATTAAAGTAAAATTGAAAAATAAAACTTTAAACTAAAATATAGTAACAAATTATATTATTATTAAGGTAGAAATAGATTCGACGAGAATATTGACAATATAATTCTGTACCTCAGAGGCATACAATAGTAACTCCACATTTTTCAAAACTCTCTTCTTACACCGTTAAATTCGCAAGAACAAATTCTACACAATAGTAAAATATCCAATCGTATATGACATCATAATCAATAATCCACTCAAGGATTCGCTCACGCATTTTTGCCTCTCCTGTAAAATTCGTGTTGTGTCACATAATGCTGTTTATTTCTGAGGTACAGAATTGTCATAATGTCACAAGGTGTTGGAGATGGCGCGCGACTGTCTCCACAAATCCGAGTCGAAGCAGGTGACCAGCAGCTATTTCTACGACATGGCAGACAGCTTGGATAGGCTGCTCGCTGAAGTGAGTACAACACACCTCACTTAGCTTCTAAGTTCAAACGGTTGAGTTAGACAGTTTTCGATCTAGACAGGCCAGGGACAGGCAGAAATAAATAAATATATAAATAATTATTTCAGGATGCCTTTTTACACGGCGTTCTCTAGTCCCGTAATAAGCGCCGCTTTTACTGTGGGCGCCGATAAACTTGGATAATCGATAAACATACTCTTAAATACTTTTCTCTTGTAAACAAATACGTGTTATAAATGCATAAACAACGATGCACTGGAAAAACACTAAGTTCATCACAGAATACTTTTCCAGTGGTGTGGGATCGAATCTAAACCCTTGGGCAGTGACCACCCGGGTCGTCTAAAAATAATGGTCTTCGTGGGTCTTTTTTTAATTTTAACCGACTTCAAAAAAAGAGGAGGTTCTCAATTCGACTGTATTTTTTTTTGTTCGTTACCTCAGAACTTTCGAGTGAGTGTACCTATTTCGATGATTCTTCATTTATTTGAACGTTAGTGCTTCCTACATGGTCCCACATTAATTCCGGCACTTGAAATTAATGGTATTGGATCTTGTCTTGGGCTCCGGAGGAACGTAGGGAACTGTTGAAAATCAATTATAAAATGAATACAGACCGAGATATTTGAAGCCGGTTTTGTTTTTCGTTAGTAAAAAATTTACGTTTTTTTTTTTTTTTTTTTTTTTTTTTGATTGAATCGTCTCCTGTACCTTTACCTCTTATTATGGTTGACCAACTTATCCGTCGTTCCACGCAGACGCGCGAGAAGTCATCAGAGGCGGGTGCACAAGTAGCCCCGTTGGTGACGCGGTTGGTGCTCGCGATGGCGCGCCCGGCGCGGCTGCTCGAGTGTCTCGAGTTCGACCCCGAGCGCTTCTACCGGCTGCTCGAGGCCGCAGAGGGGCACGCGCGGCAGTCGCAGGTCTATCTTGATACGTAGATATATAGCAGCATAATTGCAGTCCGGCCAAGTGCGAGTCGGATACGCGCACGAAGGGTTCATGTTAATATTTTTTTATTTTGTTTTTTGTATTTGTTGTTATAGCGGCAACGGAAGTACATCACATGTGAAAATTTCATTTGTCTAATACAGCCTGGTGACAGACAGAGAGCGGTATCTAAGTAATAGGGTCCCGTTTTACCCTTTGAATACGGAATCCGGAAAACCAGTTCTGGTTAATAAGGGATTTTTTCCTCATCGCGGTCCGGTTACCTTATTCTTATACGAAACACGAAGTCGTATACTTCTGCATACAGCCACTCTTTTACGCCATAGCAGTTTTGTGGCAGCTCGTAAAAACTAATTATTGTCCATTTCGTTTCCACCAGGGCATCACAACGGACATCCCCCAGTACATAATCCACAAGCTGGGCCTCTCAAGGGATCCATTGGCGGAACTGCACGCCCCACCGCCACCACCGCCGCCGCAGAACTCTTCGCCCTCCAAGTAAGATGCTAATTTTGCCCCCCCACTTCTATTATTCTAGCTGCCCGGACAGACTTCGTTCTTTTTTTATATTTAAACCTTCCTTCGACCATAAGGGATATACAAAAACATAAATTACCCGAATCGGTCAAGAATGACTGTCTTGAGTTATTGCTTAGCAATATTCATTTTTATTTATGTAGATAATATATTTGTACGTCTATTACGCGCCGTGAGGTCATCGGCCGCTTATCTTAATTGGTAAAGCGTCTGGGCGCGAAACCAGAAGACGCTGGTTCGAAGCCAGCAGCGCAGAAAGTTTTTGTTCTACAAATCTACAAAAATTTACAAATTTATCTTGAGTTCAGAGACTAGCACTAAAAAAAATAACATTTTCATTAAGTTTTAAAAAAATGTAGGTATATCTAATATATAAAATTTTCGTGTCACAGTTTTCGTTGCCATACTCCTCCGAAACGGCTTGACCGATTTTGATGAAATTTTTTGTGCTTATCCGGTATCTATGAGAATCGGCCAACATCTATTTTTCATCCCCCTAAATGTTAGGGGTAGTCCACCCCTAAATTTTTTTTTATTTTTTAGACAAAATTTTTAATTTCTATTTTTTTATGATACAACATACAAAAATACATACAACTATAAATTTTCACCCCTCTACGAGACGTAGTCGCGGGCAGCAGCTAGTAATATATAAAGGGACGTCTGTGGCAGAGGCAGTACAGCAATGGACTAAAAGAGCATCATATCTATTGTCCTTTAAACGTGTGCATTGGGTTTTGGTTAAGCTCCCCTATGGTTCCATATATTAAGTTCATTGATATCGCACCTTGGACTGGGGAGGATGCATCAGGGAACTCCTCAAAACCCTTAGGAGATGTTTGGAGTCGGTTTTGTTTTTGTTGCTACTAATATTTTACACTAGGGCTTTTTGCTCATGGTGATTGTATGGTGCGCAGGTCCCGCGGTAGGCAATCGCCGCCGGGCGCTCCGCCGGGCGGGGCTCCGCCCTCGGAGAGCGACTACCACGTCATCAAGCTGATCTCCAACGGGGCGTACGGGGCGGTGTACCTGGTCAAGCACAAGCTCACCAGGTCAGAGGTGGGTCCGTGCGTGTACGTTGCACGCAGCGTGCGTGTGGGCGTGCGTGCGTGTGCATTTGTAGCTGAGTGTGTATAAGGTTGTGTGCGTGCTAAATTATAAGAGTAAGTGTAGGCGAGCGGTTTCTATGTTGTATGTAGGTGCGGTTACGTGTCTACGTGTGTTAGTGCGCTTGTAGTTGAGTGTAGGCGGTGAGGGGCTGTGTTGATGAGTTGTTATATATTCGAGAATTTGTAGGCGTTTGGTTTCTATGGTTGTGGGCTGCGTGCCTATAAAGTCAAGTATGTAATAAATAAATACCTGTGTAGAGACTAGTGTGCGCGTATGTGCGCTTACGTGTGTGATGTGGTTTTGTTTCGGGTGTGTTTTCCTAAATGAGGATAAAAATTGGTACTATTGACGTAATCGCCTTATATCGCCATATATGATTATGTCTATTATTATCATCTATCGCTGTCTCTTTTTTAACATGATTGAAATATAATATGCCTGAAAAGCTTCCGAACTGTTTCGTCTTTAAAGAACTGTTTGGTTTTGTTCGCCTTTAGGGAGCTGAAAAACATGTTGTCTCACTGTAATGCCTAATGAAAATAATAAAATAAATATCAGGGTTGATTCAGTGTTATTCATTTACTCTACATCTCCAGGTACGCGATGAAAAAGATCAGTAAGAACAATCTCATACTGAGGAACCAAGTGGAGCAGGCCTTCGCTGAACGGGACATCCTCAGCTTCGCCGACAATCCTTTCGTGGTAGGTTTAAATGTGTTATGTTAATTTACAATGGATCGATTGTAATGGTTCACAATTAAAGTAATTCGATCTTGGGCGGTGCGGTGGAATGTACCACATGTAACCATCGAGGTCCCCACCTTGAGGGGTAAAATTTCGCGGAGTGAGGTGGTTTTTTTAATGTGGACAAGTGGTAAACGAGCTGGCGGTTCACCTGATGTTAAGTAATAACCACCGCCCATGAATTAACACCCGTAGGTTTGCCAATGCGTTGTCATCTTTAAATAAAGTGGGCCCCGGCTACCTCACTCGCCAAACGAAGAGAAGTGTTACACTTCTGCGTTTACTCTTTGGTGAGGTCGTGGTAACTACCAGGACGGACCACATTTGTGCAACAGTGATCACTTGCGTGGCCCTACTAGACCGGCGTAAGGTGGAAGTGTCATACTACTGCGTTTCGTCTGGTGAGTAAGGTAGCCGGAGTCCATTTTATTAAAAGTTGGAGACGTATCTGCAACCCTACGGGTGTTGCAAATGTCCATGGGATTGCCACTTTCTCACATAAAAAAAAAAAAACCTTTTCGTTCGAATGAACGAATGATAAATGTCAACAAAAATTTTCAATTTAAAATTGTAAAAAAAAAAATATGCTACCGAGCGTTCGTCCGTAATGAATGAGAGCGTCGGTTCCCCCCCCGGCAGGTGACGATGTACTGCTCGTTCGAGACGAAGCGGCACCTGTGCCTCATCCTGGAGTTCGTGGAGGGCGGCGACTGCGCCACGCTGCTGCGCAACGGGCCCCTGCCGCCGGACATGGCGCGCCACTACTTCGCCGAGGCGGTGCTGGCGGTCGAGTACCTGCACTCCTACGGCATCGTGCACAGGGACCTCAAGCCGGACAAGTGAGCGCCTTATGCCGATAGGAATTAGGGCGGATTTGCAATGGACGGCTCGAGTGCCTGCACGTGCACGGGTCCTCAAGCCTTACTCAGCTGTGAATAAGGGCGAATTAGCAATGGACGGGTTGAGAGCCTGCACGTGCGCAGGTCCTATAAGACAGACGGGTTAGAGCCTAACACTGCTATGAATAAGGGCGAATTTCCAATAGTCAGGCCGAGTGCCTGCATTCTTATAGCGTCGTGTACAGAGACTTCTAGCCGGATAAGTGAGAGCCTTAAGCTGATACGAATAAGGGGGATTTTGCAATGGTCGGATCGAGTTCCTGCACTAGTACGGTATGTTATATTGAGACATCCAGCCGGACAAGTGAGAGCCTTAACTCAATAAATAAGATCGATTTTTGAATGGCCGTGCACTCAGTCTACTCGCGGCCGGTATTAATTTGAATTTTATGTTGCAGCCTTCTCATCACGGCAACTGGGCACATAAAATTGACCGACTTCGGGCTGAGCAAAATGGGCCTTATGTCATGTGAGTAAAGTTGATAATAAAATGAGTTACATCAATTACCATAAATAGTTATAAAAAGTGAAGATAAGTAATTCCTCGTATCGATTATTTTGTCAACATTTATTACAAAATCCGTTACGAACAAATCGCAAGTAGTTCATTTCGTATGGTATGTCGTTGAAAAAATTAATATTCAGTTTAATTTGGTAAAAGAACAGAACAGAACTATTCGCATGTGAGATAATACTTGATTTTTAATAATGAAGTTGATATTTAAATATTTTCACCCTGGAGGTCGTTAACATCGTTCCGAACACAATAAAAGAACCATAATAGTCATCGCAAATCCTATCCATTGTTTTCCTTTCTTCAAATCTCGTTAACATATACTCATTTCAACAACACCATCATCTCTCTCTCACTTGTGATGGCACGAAGGATAACTATATGCCAAAGAGAGAGAGAGAGAGAGAGAGAGAGAGAGAGAGAGAGAGAGAAAGAAAGAGAGAGAAAGAGAAAGAAAGAGAACCCGTTCCTTGCGCAGTGGCGACCAACCTGTACGAGGAGTACGCGGACCGCGAGGCGCGTCAGTTCTCCGACAAGCAGGTGTGCGGAACGCCGGAGTACATCGCGCCGGAGGTGATACTGCGCCAGGTGAGGTGAACCTTTTACTGTCTTCTCTGTTGCACGAATCGGCAGGTCTTAACTATATACATTGCGGCAGGGCCCCGCAAATGTCCTCTCTGTTGCACGAATGGGTAGTTCCGTCCGGGTAAGTACCACGATCTCACGGAAGACCGGTGTTCAGTATTACACTTCTGCGTTTCGTCCGGTGAGTGCAGGTAATCCGGGCTGACTTTAAATAAAATTAGGCAATGGATTTGCGCAACAGAACGGGAAGAAGTGGGTTCGATTGCCGCAGCGGCGAAAAATTTTTCGTCCGTTTATTCTAAAATTTTTATTGTTTCAGCTTAGGTGCAGAGACTTACGAGCTATATAATACAATGGATCGTTATTTCAGGGCTACGGGAAGCCGGTGGATTGGTGGTCGATGGGCATCATCCTGTATGAGTTCCTGGTCGGCTGCGTGCCCTTCTTCGGGGACACCCCCGAGGAGTTGTTCGCGCATACTGTGAACGGTGAGAGCATCACAATAATTTGCACATTCAGGCACATATACTAGGGGTATATTTTTAGGGTAGGCAAAGATATCGGTGTGAATGGCAAATAAATTAGTAGGCACACTTGCTTGTGATGATGTCAGAAAACTGCAAATTCAATTAAGTTAAGGTTAGAAATGAAAGAAAAAGTCGTTTAAAATATTACGAAGGTGTTTTATAATATTTGTCAATTCGTTTGGTTGCGGTAGTATAATACAATACGTATTGCATTAAATAAGACTTCTAAAGCAACTTTTATATACTGAGGATATTAGTGCAGAGTCCACCATTCGTATAGGCAAACTACATATATTATCGAACAGTTTTTTATGTTATTATTTTGTATATATGCAGGTTTCCTTACGATGTTTTCCTCAGTCAGCTAAAAGCAGTCACCTAAAATTGACAATTGCATCGGGATTTGAACTCAGGTTGCTCGAGTATCTTGAATTAAAAGCGAGCGCCCGGACACTGAGCTATCACGGCTCTTATTATTTTTGGCTCAGGATCGTGCTTCGTGGCAGTCTGTGGGGGAGGGCTATGTTCATCAGATGTTCTCATGATGATCATGATGAACTTTAAATTTTAAATAGTTTCCTCACGTTGATGTAATTCGATCCTGAGCCACATGCGTCCATCGACTTCCCGCCCATTTGCAGAGGTCGTCTCCATCTAGTGGTTTCCGTCCAACACTGTGACCTTTCTTCCCCAACGCTTATCGGCAGCCTATGGGGGAGGAGGCCTATCCTCAGCAGTCGACTCAGACGGGCTGAAATGATGATGACGATGATGTAATTCTAAACTTTCCCCGCTTCCGATGAACAATTGGCAATACGGCCCGCAGACGACATCGAGTGGCCCTCCGAGGAGGACTTCCCGATAGCGGCGGAGGCGCGTGCGATCATCACGGAGCTGCTGGCGAGGAACCCGCGCGACAGGCTCGGCACCGGCGGCACGCACCAAGTCAAGGTGGGCGCGAGCGAAAGGAACGCGAACGAACGGGCGAATGGCACGCGAACGAACGGGCGAATGGCACGTGAACGAATGAGCGAAAGGAAGGTGAAAGAACGAGCGAATGGCACGCGAACGAACGGGCGAATGGCACGTGAACGAATGAGCGAAAGGAAGGTGAAAGAACGAGTGAATGGCACGTGAACGAACGGGCGAATGGCACGTGAACGAATGAGTGAAAGGAAGGTGGAAGAACGAGCGAATGGCACGTGAACGAACAAGGGAATGGCACGTGAACGAACGGGCGAATGGCACGTGAACGAATGAGCGAAAGGAAGGTGAAAGAAGGAGCGAATGGCACGCGAACGAACGGGCGAATGGCACGTGAACGAATGAGCGAAAGGAAGGTGAAAGAACGAGCGAATGGCACGCGAATGAACGGGCGAATGGCACGTGAACGAATGAGCGAAAGGAAGGTGAAAGAACGAGTGAATGGCACGTGAACGAACAAGCGAATGGCACGTGAACGAACGGGCGAATGGCACGTGAACGAATGAGCGAAAGGAAGGTGAAAGAACGAGCGAATGGCACGTGAACGAACAAGCGAATGGCACGTGAACGAACAAGCGAATGGCACGTGAACGACCGGATGAATGAAATCGATGTTTAAAGAGCTCGAGTTTGCTCTGCTCTCTAGTCTTTATCATGTTTTCGATTTAAATTCTATGTATACGCCATTGTTAGTTACTATGGCACTTGAGGTGTCGGTTGAGATACCTAAGTGTTGAATGTGGTTGAGACGTCGGTTAATGTTAGTGGTGGATTGTAAATGTCCCTCTTTATGAGTTTAATATTTTAGGTATCTGTTCGATATCATTTTGTAATTTAAATTTTTAGCACTTAATACTTTAATCTACACAATGTACAAAATAAAAACTTTTTTCTTTTATTACAGGAGCACATCTACTTCTACGGTCTGGACTGGAACAATCTTCTGAGACGAAAGGCTGAGTTCATACCGCAGCTGGAAAATGACGAGGATACTAGTTATTTTGACAGTAAGTTTTTTCTTCACCATAAGTGGATCGAAATAACTTCTCTAAGCCTTCATAAAACTCGTTAGGTTAGGTTAGGTTAGGTTAGGTTAGGGAGAGAGAGAGGTTGGTAGTTCTCCGTATAGCAGTCGTGAGTAGAGGTGGAACAACCTTCTCGGCCGCTTGTAAGCCCCTTACAGTCACTGAACTCCATCTACACTAGCACTTCCGGAGTATGGTTCCTCCCAAACCGTTGCGACCGCTAGCAGTCACCATCCATTCGCCTAGGCCCCTGTGCCTTCATAAACCCATTAGTTTTCGAGCCCTTCCTATATCAGTCGCCGGGAAAGTGTCTTCAATGTGACCAGTCTTCTAGGCCTCATAGCGTTCGTACGCCGTACGGTCACCGAGCTCCGACTAAACTAGCGCTCCCGTAGCTTGGCGCATTACAGGCCGTTGTGCTCACTACACTTCACTTTGTACATATTTGTCTAGACCTCTTGATCTTTGAGATCTTCCTATACTAGTTGCCAGTAGATGTGGCCCAGTCTTCTAGACCTGTGAGCGCTCGTACGCCGCACGGCCACCGGGCTCCAACTAAACTGGCGCTTCGCAGGCCGCTGCGACCGCTACAACCACAGCGAGGCGGACACGGACGAGGCGGCCGACGGCCCGGAGGCGGCGGACGACGCGCTCTTCGCCGCCTTCTCGTCCACGTCGCCGCAGTGGCGCCGCCACTACCACCACTCCCACTCCCACTCGGCGGTGTCCCACGACTCGAGGGTGCGTACTACTCATGGGGCAGGGCATATGTGTGGGATGTATAACTATAAATGTACTAAAAATATTCAGCCATATATATGTCTTACAATTATTGGCCATCGTAGTTTAGGAGCCATCGGACCTCCCACTAGATGCGAGTGGCGACCTGTACTAGTTTTGCGGGTATATATAATGTATAAGAATTTTGACATAAGCTTATAAACATTGAAGCTTATGAAAAGAAAAAAAATGCGATAGCCGTATTATTTTGTTTAATGTTAATTAACAGCTTTATAATGAAATTGTCCGTTAGCAGAGCACGGACAGTTGGCCGGGAACGCCGGACAGCGCTGGGCCCCCCACCACACCCACCGCTCCTCCCCACCACCACCCCAAGTGCCCGGTGAGTGAAACACTGAACACACTACTCCTTTATTTCATATATATTCAATTTCCCTTAATTCAATTAAAAAAAATCTTTCCAATAGGATTACAATAATGTTAGTTCGTCATTTGTCGACAACCAACAGTAGTTCACGAACAAAACGCGCTCTAATAAAAATTATTGACGTTTAAATGTATATAAAATCTATATATACATATTAGGAAATTGACAGACGAAAACTTGTTCTCTCAGATGGTGGGCGCCGGCGGAGGCTCCACTGCGGAGTCGTCTCAGACGGACTCCGACGACGTGTCCCCGGCGGCGAGGCGGCGAGCGGCCCTCCGCCCGCCCGCGCTCGCCACGCACGCACACACGCACGCGCACGCACACGCGCACGCGCCGCACGTGGCCCACGCGCTCGCTCACCCCCACCCCCATCCACACCCGCCCATGCTGCCGCGCATGTACGTATGCGTGTGCGAAACAAAAATGTGTAACGTTGCACAGGTCGCGCGAACGTCGCAGAATAAAGCCGGCACGTACCGTCGAGTGCAGAATTCGTTTAACAAAGATCAGTGTACACAAAACCTAGCTATTCGCGACTGTATGAACGTGTGTTTGCAAGGAAAACGTTTAACGGGTCAACGTTGCCCCCAGGATTAAGCTTGCATGTACCGTCGAGTGCAAAACTCGATTAACAAAGCAACTCAATCTATAAAAGGTTTACACGAAACCAAGCTACTCGTGACTGCACGGGTCGCACGAACGTTGTCTCAAGGCTTAAGCTGGTATTTACTTTCTAGTGTAACTATTAACAAAATGTCTGAAATATATAGAAGGTTACTCCGAGGCCTCCAGACCTCTAAATCCGGCCCTAACACGACCCCGAAGCCGAACTGCGCCACGGGGGTGTCCTCAATGTTCAAATTTTTAACTGTATCACACAGAAGCGACACCTCGAAGCGGGATCTGGACCGGGGCGTGGACAAGGTGGACAAGCCCGAGAAGTCCAAGCCCATCGCCCTGGCGGCGCCCAAGTCGATGAGGCGATCGGCCAGCACCTCCGGCCTGTCGCTGGTCATCCATCCAGGTGGGTGCGGTGACGTCACAACCTATATTTCTTACCTCACTAATACTTTCAGTACAATCCACTCGGCTGGCAGCCAGGCGGCTTTAGTGACGTCACGTATTTTCTAACTTTCCTTTTACTTTCTGTTCATTCCCCCTGATTCGTGAAAGGGGACAGATATATATGTTTTGTTTCAACAATTGTATACTGTTGTAATTATCTATTTATGGTTAGTTTTATTTTTAATGCTAGTCAAGATGAAAGTTAAAATTTGGCGTTGTGGGATTCGGGCTATGCCAACCAAGGATATAATGCCTTTGCGGCGTATTGGCTGTAGTTTGTTTTTAAGTTTCGTCTTGAGTGCAGAGACTATCACTGTAAATTAAAAATTAAATTTAAATAACCAAGGGGACATCTCTAGTTTTCAAATATTCATTGTAAATAGTCCTTTGGGAAAGTGTGCTTTGTAAAGCCAGCACGTTATATAACACCAAGCTTTGATTGAAAATGCAATAAAAACTTAGTAGATAAGGCGTCTACATTTTCACGTAGCGAGGATTTCGTCCACGTCGAGTTTAGTCGATAGAATCTTGACGCGTAATCCAGAAGACTCTCAGGTTCGGATCCCGGCAGCTGCGGAAAGTTTTATGGTCGTTTTACCTAAAAACTAAAAAAAAAAACAACCCGTACTGTGGCATAACATTGTCCTGTGTGGTAAGGCCGTTCTACATACATAAATTTCACGCGGACAAACGCCCAGATGCGAAACGATCATCCGTTGATCACACAAGTAGTTGTTGCGTTGTGCGTGCGGGGATCGAACCCGCTACCCCGGCGCCGGAGCCGGTGCTTCGGCGACCGCGCCACTGGGCGCTGACCGTTCCGCGTTCGAATCCAGCAGACGAGAGCGCGGGCGGCGGCGGCGCGGCGTCCCCCTGCGCCGGGAACACCTCCTCGACCAACTCCTCGCGAGACTCCTCGCCCTGCCGCGACCCGCCATCGCCCTTCGCCATCGCCAACCACTCGTAAGTTCCCTCTGTGAAGCTTCATCTCTTTTGGCCCGTAAGCTCTTTGGCCCTTTGTGAAGTTCTATTGGCGTGTTTTGGCGTCTATTTTAATGTACAAAATTGGTTCAGAAGTAAAGTTCATGCAATTTAAACGAAGAGAAAAACCCGCCAAGTGCAAGTCGGACTCGCACGTAAAGGGTTCCGTACTTATTATCTATAAAAACGGCATAAAAATCGTGTCTGTTGTATATTAGCGCCCAACTTCAGTATTTTTTTTTATTCTGTTTTTGAATTTGTTGTTATAGCGGAAACAGAAATGCATCTTCCGTGAAAATTTCAAAACTATCACTGTTCATGAGATACGGCTCGGTGACCTGCGTACAAATAGACAGATAGAGCAGTCTTGGTAATAGGGTCCCGTTTTAAGCTCTGGGTACGGAACCCAAAAAGTAAGAAGCGAGTGAGCACTTAAGGGAAATGGCAGACGTCACTACAGTCTTTTGAGCTTTCGTTTATCGTAAAGTTGTAATGAAGTGAAGTCGACTTAGGACAAGATAGATGACGCTAAATGTAATTCATCAATTCAGGTTGAATCGGCATAATATGGCATTAGATAATTAAAATAGATGGCGCTAGTAGTGTTAGAAAGTAAAGAAAGATGAACTCTAGAAAGGGTGTACTAGCAAAGACTGGTGAAAATAATTATAAATTATTTTTTAATTACTATAGTGCAAAAATGAAGAAAAGACTTGAGGACATATTTCTTGAGTTTATTGAGAAATAATGGGTATATTAGGAAGTAGGAGTGCATGTGACATGTGCGCACATTTGACACTTGCACACAACATACATGTGACAGGTTGATGCAACATGTATGTGGCATGTGTATGCAACATGTATGTGACATGTGCATGTAACATGTATGTGACATGTGCATGCAACATGTATGCGACATGTTCGCCGTCCGCAGGCTGATCCAGTCCTCGAAGCCGCCGATTGTGGTGCGCCGAGGCCCGCGCGGCTTCGGCTTCACTATCCACACGGTGCGCGTCTACTACGGCGACTCCGACTACTACACGATGCACCATCTCGTCTCGGTGAGTATCATTACAATGATCAGATCGCGATGTCCGTTTATTTGTTCTCCACGCGTGTCATGCACACGAAGACATGTGCGTAACCAGTAATACAATAAATTTGGCAAAACTGCTTCTACTAAACAATGAAACTAGTAATTGCACGGCATAGTTGAGAAGAAGGAATGAATTAAACATAAAGTCATTATAAAAAACGATGACGCCCATTAGGTACAAATGTGTACAAAATCTTGCACGGCAGGGACTAAACTTGAGAATGTACTACTGAGAATGAAACTATATTACAAATATGTAATTGTATCATATGATATCTAATAAATAAAATGAAACTATATTACAAATATGTAATTGTATCATATGATATCTAATAAATAAATTGAAATCGTATCTAATAAAAAAATACAATTCAATACATTTTTCTACTTTGTTCGTCAATCGATTTTCTTCTTTTTCGTCATTAGCTTTAGTGTTTCCAATTATTTAAACAGTTTTTTTTCTTACTTTAAATATGATCACAGAAATACAATGAACAAATGTATAAGCGTAGAAATAAAGTCGATGGAAAATGAAAACAACTATGTTTTCATCTAGTTTCCAGTAATGATTATGGTTTAATTTTAAATAATAGGCGAATACTGGTTTATTTAATACTATATAGTGACCGCAAAAAAGAGTATGTGTCTAGTTCGATTTAATATTCAGGATTTAAAATAGTATGCTCTTAAAACTTGCATCAAACGCAAAATCTAATTTCATGAAGTCATCGGAATGATTTAATGTTCATAGATGACATTTCCTCACAGTTGGGCTGTGGCAACAAAACAAAATATACGGTTACATTTATTCTGGCAGAATTATATCTTATTGCTTGAGAGTTAAGATATATTTTCGCAAATCACAGGCTGTAAGCGAGCAAGGAGCGGCGTGGGCGGCCGGGTTACGCGCGGGCGACCTCATCACTCAGCTGAACGGCGAGTCCGTGCAGGGATTGCTCCACACACAGGTTCGTGCAACTGTGCACCCTAAATGGTTAGGCATAAGGTTCATATCAGATTGGAGGATCAAGACGCATTTAAAAATGTCGCAACAGTGATGCACGGCTGTGATTGGATCACATAAAAAAAAAACTTAAAATCTAGATCTAGGATTAATTTTACTTTTATTACGTTTAAATCTGACCATATTTGTTTTTGCAGGGACAAAAGTAGTGTCTATTTGTAGTCACGCATATTATGTTACACGTTTGTTTTTTCAAACAAAACATGCCTTTTATTCAAATAAATCTGAAACATTAATTCATGGCGTCACATTTTAGCGTAGAAGTAATCATCGTTGTTTTAATATGTTCACGGGTACTAAGTAACTGTGTACCACGATTAATCTCTTTTCTGTAGGTGCTCAAGTTGCTGCTGACGGCTCCGCACGCCACCCTCCGCGCCACACCGTTGGACCAGACGACCATACAGGTACGTGCGATCCGATATACATATGGCGAGGAACCATGTATCTAATAAATACGATAAAAACTCTAAAACAAAATGCGATACACAAAAGTTATTTCGAATATATGCTAATTTTATATTCGAAATAACTTATATATAACACATATTATGTGAGTGGGATATTTTTGGTTAAAGATTGAAATCCTGACCTGCCATCTGATGTTTTAGACGAAGAAATACTCTCTAAACCTGTACTGTATTATTTTGGTGTTCAGCAATTGGCAATAGCATGTGTGTAATTGCGCAGGCCGGGGGGCGAAGGCGCGCGGGCGGGCGGCGGGCTTCCGCCCCCCCGAGGCCCCGCCCCCGGCGCCGCTGCTCCCTCTTCCGCCGCATCTCCACCAAGCGCGCCTCGCAGGAGATGCACCAGGTACGTCTTTTTAGCCATCCATCTATTCGATCGCATATTAGTTCATCCATTCATTCATTCATCCATTCATTCATTCAATCCATGTATCGGTTTGACCGTCAATTTGAATGCACTGGCGAGCTGCTATTACGAAACTCAAACACTCATTTATCCAATCTACTCATTCATACGTTCATCCATTCATTCGTTTACTCATTCACCGACAAGCTATTATTATGAGACTTCAATAGTCCCTATCTATTCATTCATTGATCTACTTAGTCATCCGTTTACCCATTTTTTCATTTAGGTACTCACCCACATATTAATTCGATCATCAATTTGATGGCAATGACGAATTTTTATTACGAAACTGTTGTTGTCCTCAGTCGTTTTCTACTCTTACTTACTTGGATAGTAAACAAAGCATGCCCAGTAGAAGACATAGAAACCCGTAAGCTAAAAACTGCGCGTCAACATATGGAAAAGGTTTAGATCCACAGGGATGGATTGAAGTATTTGTATAAAACAATAATAATTGTCGTAATTTGTAAACGGAATCGGGCACCAGTAATAACACTAGCCTCTACAAAGCGGCGATGGTGCTCCGCCCGCGTCTGTCTCTCTCTAATGCAGCCGTCCCGCTCGCGCAGATGGTGTCGGCGGCCGGCAGCGGCGAGTGCCCCCCTTCGCCCGCCGCCTCCCCCGCCGCCGACAGCCCGCTGCACGCGAACACGCACTACCAACGGTACGCAACAACAACAATGGAAACGACAACGACCGCAACAACAACAAACAAAAACTGCTTTAATCTACTTAAAAAACATTTTAGACTGATTTAGACAATCAATCCACACGGTTACGATCGGTGAATACGTAATTATACATTTTTATTGCCCTGTTCCTATATTCAACGAACGGCCGTTAGTTACATAGCTTTGTAACTTTCATGAAGACTTGTAGATTAAAGGAACGCTAGTAACTCACTTTACAAGGCCTTTTGTCTACAAGTCGTTATGAAAGTTACGAGGCTATGTAACTAACGGCTGTTCGTTCAATATAGGAATCGGGCAAATGTAAGCAATGTGTCAAGTTGCCGTAGAGCTTGCCTTTCACCCGATGTTAAGTGACAACCGCCGGCCATGGTCATTTGCAATGCCCGTAGTTAGTAGCCCGATTACCACACTCACCGGACAAAACGCAGTAGCATAACACTTCCAATTGACGCCGGTTTCCATCGCGATCGCGGCGCTCCCCAACGGACCTGCCTATTGCAACAGCGAAGACTGTAGAGTATTAATGGAAACGAAAGACTTACTGCTGTGGCCCCCCAGCCCGTCGTCGCTGCACGGGCTGAAGCACAAGCTGGGCGCGGGCGAGGTACGGCGCGCCTCGCTGCAGCACATGCCGCTCTCGCCTCTGGCCAGGACGCCGTCGCCGTCGCCGCAGCCGCAGCCCGCCTCGCCCACCAGGTGAGGCCGCGCGAATCTCGACCCACGCGCCATAGGCATAAGGTTGCCTAAGGTTGTGGCTCTTGCCTTCAGAGTTCAAGTTCCTCGCCCACCAGGTGAGGCCGCGCGAATCTCGACCCACGCGCCATAGGCATAAGGTTGCCAGACCCACGCGCCATAGGCATAAGGTTGCCTAAGGTTGTGGCTCTTGCCTTCAGAGTTCAAGTTCCTCGCCCACCAGGTGAGGCCGCGCGAATCTCGACCATAAGGTTGCCTAAGGTTGTGGCTCTTGCCTTCAGCCGCGCGAATCTCGACCTACGGGCGATAGACATAAGGTTGTCGACACGGTCGACGGTACCTTTCGCGCTAGCGGTTTTCACACACGCGCTCCTGCCTTTAGAGTTCATGTTCCCCGCCCACCTCGTGACCCACGTTGGGTGCGCGGTCTTGCGTTTTAGAGGTTCGCGAGCCCGTCGCTCGCTGGTGCCGCGCAAGTGAGGCTGCGCGAATGGCCGTGAGATTCTCAACCTACGCGCGATAGAAATAAGGATTATGTTCGCGCTAGCAGTTCGCGACCCGCGCGCTCCTCTTTTTCAGTTGATATTCCACACCCATTATATGAGGCCGTGTGATTCTCGACTTACGTGCAATAGTCATAAGGATGACGATACGGGTCGTTGCGCGATAGCGGTTTTTAAATGGCTACTAAAACCGCATCAAAACGTAACTAACACCGAAATGATAAATAATTGTCATATCATTTTAACGAATATGTTTTAATTGGCTGTATGTTGTATATAAAATTCTGTATGTCCACTTATAACATTCCATCATACAATCTCTTTATGCTATGTCTATATTTATGTGTTATAACAATATGTCATGCCCGTACAAGACGACCAACGAAACTTTGGACGCCTAAGTATTTTCCATTCCTAAGCAGCGTAGTTTAGCAATTTGAATATTCACTGTTATCATACAGTTTTTAAACTGTAGAGTAGTACATTCCACTTCGTATAAAACATCGCGACTCTTGAGATGTTTAATCCCGTAAAGAAGGCCTACTCGAGTGTGGAGCTCGGGTACGGTACGGTGGGCGGCCAAGGTTTCGTCTTAGCGTTGTGCGCGCGCGCTATACGTTGGGTGCGGGCGCAGCCGGTGCGAGGCGCGCAGCCCTTCGCCGCTGGCGGCGCGCGAGTGCGGCCGACGCGCGTGGCCGCGCCGCGACCCCGCCTCGCCCCTCCTCCGGCGCGCCCTCTCCCCCGACAGGTTAGTTAGTGGACACCGCACCCCCGCCCCCCACTCCATCGTACTCTTGCAACGCGCGTGAGCTCAGTAGGGATGTCGAAAGTGAAGGAATATGTCGATAAAGCGATATATCGATATTTATAAAGATATCATTATCGGCCGCCGTATAAGGAAGAGAAAATATCGATATACCGGATATAGCCCCCCTTGGTCAAAAAAAAAATGTAGGTGAAGTATTAAATAGAATAAAAAAGGGAATCCGATGCAGAGTCCGTGGTTGTCAAATACCACGGACTGTGTACCGGATTCAAACTTGAATTGAAAAAAATATCCTTTTTGATACGATTTACGATACTGAATATTTTGTATCGGATCGAAATATATCAGAAGAAAATATCGAAATATAGAATCAAAAATATCGTCATATCGATATATTTTTTCGACATCCCTAGAACTCAGTAGAGGTTTGATACGTACGAGAATTAGTAACTACATCTGTCGTGGACAACGACCCCCTGGAAATCCGTAAAGATCTCTACTATCCCCCCCCCCCCCCCCCCCCCTCCTCCATCAACACTCTTCTACAAGAGCTCCGGTCAATAGAGATGTCACAGCAGATTGGTCTGAATCTCTATCTCTTCCCACCTCCCTGGCTCCATTCATCTTGTTATAAGCGAAATACTATTGACGTCAACAATATAGGTTTAGAATTTTCAAACAGGAATAAAAAATGTTATCTACCTATCACTCCGACCCTCCTCGCGGGAGAAGTGATAGGTAGATCTTTTCCCGACAGGTGAGAATTAAATCTTGCTTAGCTATGTCTCCGGTCTCCTCTCGTGTAACTAAGATTCATGTTCACACGTTCACTAAATTCTTGACGATACATCAACTAATGCATTGTATGTGTCGTAAAACTAATAAAATGCATATACTTTTCGCTTGTTTGCACACTAATATTTCAAAGAATCGTACTAGCCATTTCTTTCTATCCCTCCGATCTTCGAAATCTTAATGACTTTTTTTTTAAATTTACAAACAATGCAGCGGCGTTTTGGCGAGAAATTGCTGTCATTTAATTCTTCGTGTAACGATGTATACGATCATAGACTGCACCCGCGCTCGGCCGAGGCCAAGTGCTCCATCTCGCCGCTGTGCTGCGGCGTGGGCGTGGGCGTGGGCGGCGCCTCCAGCGGTGGGAGTGGGCGGCGTGGGGCTGGCTGGCGCGCCCCCGCCCCCGCTCCCCCCACTCCGCCGCCCCCGGAGAAGCCCGACGAGCCGCCGCTGCCCAGGATCGCCGAGGAGAAGGACTCGCCCACTCACCAAGCTGCCCACTCCAGGCTGCCCACAAGGTGACGACTTTGCCCACGCTAAGCTTTTTTTAACACGAGAAGATGGCAAGCGAGCGGATGGTTGACCTAATGACATTTGCAACATCCTTAGGGTTGCAGATGCCTTGCCACTCTTTAATAAAGCGGGCACTGGCTACCTTCCTCACCAGACGACAGACAGAAGTGTAACATTTCCACTTAGCGCCCATTAGTGCAACAGTGAAGACCCTACCCTGTTTCGTGGCCCTACTGCAGTTATATCGTTTCTCCCACTCACTCGTTCAATCAATACAACTGCACACCGCATCTCTAATACTCGCTTAAATCGGCAGGACACCGGCGAAACAGAGCACGCCCAGCATCTTCACGTCGTCGCCGAAGAGCGTGGACAAGAGCGCGATGGACGCGAACGCATCTTTCGCCTCGCTCTCGCTGTCCGACGAGTCGTTCGTCGACAGCTCCGTTGACGTGTCAAATCTGGACACCTCCAGGGAGGCACTCTTAGGTTGGTATTCACCCAAAAAAAAGTAAAGTATCGGCCTATACATGTCCCACCGTTGGGCAAAGGCCTCCTCTATACAGAGGGTATCAGGGCATAGTCCACCACGCGGCTTCTCTGGGGATTGGCGGACTTCACATATATTCGAAATGTTTTTTTTAATTATTATTTCAAAAATATTCAGGTTTCCTTCCTCACGATGTTTTCCTTCACCGCGAAGCACGTGATATGCCAGCACTTAAAATTAACAATTTCATTGGTGTCGGCACCAATGAAAAAACGAAGGATTTTAAGGCTTAGGTTCAATAACGCATACATGTCGACATGCGTAACCTTGCTTAGTAGGGCCGGACTGAGATAAAATCTATAAATTAAGTTTATTAAAATCTTTAATACTCGCGTAAATAGACGAAAAAGACAAATGTTTTCGTATCTTTAACGAAAGTGGAGTCTTATGTACAAAACTATGCTGTGATGGATACACATGCCAGTGCAACGTCGTTTTGCAACTTCCTTAAAGATCGCTCCTACCTTTAATTCTTCGAAAGTTCTTCCAATATATTTGAAACAATTTTCTTTAGAATCCCTAATGAGATTAAAGCGGAACTACATCAGAACTTTAACGCTACTATAACGGTATAATAAATAAAATATCATACATTGTTTTGTGACGTATTAATCCAATCTTTCTAATTGCAGTCGACAGCAGATCCAGCGTGGAGAGCAGCGCACCCACATCGGAGATGAGCAAAAACATCATCACCACTTTCGAGACACCGTCGTCTATGAGTCAGAGCGACACACACTCGAAGACCAGGAAGAAGTCCGACTCCAGCCTGAAAGACGAGGACTTGAAGACGAGAGACAAGAGCAAAACGAAACCCGAGAAGTCGGAACTGAAGAAACAGGACTCGATCAAGAAGTTGGAGAGGGCCGAAGCGATAGTGGAAGAGAAGCAGCAGACGCAAGAAGTGCAGAAGATAGAAGAAAAGCCAAAAGTGGAGAAGCCGATGGAGAGGGTCGGCTCCGTGAAGAAGTCTGATAAACAGGACAAGGCCGAAGCGAAAAAGGAGAAACAAGAGAAAGCGGAAATGAAGAAGCAGGAGAAAATGGAGGCGAAGAAGACAGAGTCGGCGAAGAAACTCGAAGGCTTGAAGAGACAGGAGTCCGTAGAGATTAATAAGGTAATAAAATATATGATTAGTGAATTTTATTAAATCGTGGAGTTTAGATGATCCTAGCACATAAGCAATCGCATTTATGGTAATGGTTTTAATAAAGAATGTTTTTGGATATTGTCACTCTTTGTGCGTTAATGACAATCTGACCAATAACAGCTTTAATATTGTTTTTTCTTTTGATTTAAAATAGTCTTCAAATATTGTCGCTCTTTCCGCGTTGCTGAGAGTCTGACGAAGTAAAAGTTGCGTTTTAATTATCGTTTTCTATTGACATAAAATACTGTAGAACATATCGCTCCATAAGGACTCTGTCCGGCTTCGTTTCGCAGTCGCCGGAGGGCGCGGAGGTGGGGTCGGAGAGCAGGGCGCGGAACAGCATGGTGAGCAAGCTGCTGGGCGTCATGGGGCGGAAGGGGGGCGCCCGCGAGAGCAGGGACGACGAGGAGCACCGCGCCGCCAAGAAGCAGGAGAAGCACGCCAAGAAGAAGGTGAGGAGTTAGTGCAAGGTATCCCTGCTGCAAGATGGCGAGGGAATCTGGGAAGGTTACCCTTCTCCGAGGCGTGCTCATGCCCAGTACCGAGGGACGCCGGTGCGTTCCATAGGGGATCACGGGGTGCCTCCAAACATACAGAAGGTGGCCACCGAGGGGGTTTTACTGGGTAAGAACCCCACATAACCCGACCATGTAAGATGACAGGGTATCTTTTGAAGATTTCCCCCCGATACAAAAAAAAGAGTGGAGTTAGTGAGGTAGGGCAACGCGACAGGCTTCGCTGTTGCACGAATGGGCAGGTCCTTCCGGATGAGTACCACGGCCTCGCAGAAGACCGGCGTGAAGAGGGAGTGTTACGCTTCTGCGTTTCGTCTGGTGGGTGAGGTTGCCGGGGCCCACTTTATTAAAGGGTTTTGGGACATCTTGGTACATGAAGAAAGAGAAGAAGAGAGTGATTCTCTAAATTCTCGTTAAATAAATATTTATAACGGATTTTAGATAAATTTTTAATATATGTTTCAGTGTTTTACAGCGAACACTACAGCGTTTACGACCACGGGACCCAGAATTCACAAAACCATGAGCTATTTTTGCATAGAACGGAATAGATGAATAAATAATATGTGTGTAATGTGTACATAGAACCACGCAACAGTCTTCGCTGTTGCACGAATGGGCAGGTCCTTCCGGGTCAGTACCAAACCTCTCAGAACACCACTCGGGAATTGGAAATACTTCAGCGTTTTGTCAGGGGGAGCGAGTGGTGGTGAAGCCACTTCATTAAAAGGTCGCATCGCATCTGCTACTCTACGAATGTCGCAAATGTCAATGGGCGGCGGTTATCGCTTACCATCAGGTGAACTGCCAGCCTGCTTGCCGCCTTCTCACATAAAAAAAAAAACATTATTTTTCACCATTTCTCATTTGGCTTTCTCTATAATTTATTTGTTAGTTGACTGTGGTGGAGAACATCTAATTTGACTTGAACTTGAGGTGTTAAGTCCGCTATTATGCGCTTTTGTGGGAAAAGTTTTTGAGCTAGTGTGGGTTAGTGTTCGGAGTGTCTTGAATTTGTTTTTGAATTGACCGCCAAGCGGAATTTTCTCTGCATTTCTTTTTCGCGTTGTTTTTTAATGGACACGTTACAATCAATACACGGACAATCCACAGTCTGGCAACACACAGGCCCCGCCGAGGCAGAACGACCCATCGCCTTCGGAACGCTCAGCCGAGAAAAACGACAACGTGGAAGACAGGAAGGGGAAGAAGGGTCGCGGACGAGCGTCCAGTTCTTCCTCGCTGGAGAAGTGAGCGGCTTCACCACTGAGAAGAATCTCTCCACCAGCATTTAGCGCATCCATATGACTACCGCTCCCGACGATTCTATCAAAAACTTTGCGATAATGCGACCGCCACTCGATAATGCACCTTACGCGTAGGCGATACGATTGAAATTGGAATAACACAGGGGTATCCCGCTGCCCTAACGGAATGAGTCTCCAATTATAAAAGTTTTCTTGATATAAGAATTTGTATTTAATAATTATTCACCTTTCATGTGTCTAAATTCTGAATGTTAGCTAGATAAATGGTTTTCGATGTATTTCTGAAAATTGACTTTATACGCGGTATAGCTTGTATAGTATGTTTTTGAACTAAAACCTATACGCGTTGGGGTACAATCATTGACGATTGATATATCATCTCTATAATAGGAATTATTATCTTTAGAATAGGCGAGTAATTTATGTTGTATACAACGTTAACAAAAACACAATATAAGTTACTCCATAAATAAACAACGAGGTGAGTCTTTTAAAAACGAAGAATGAAAAGCTTTGACTATATTTTATATGGCAATGTCGCTGCTTCAAAAAACCATTAAAAACATTTCGTAACTTTTAAAATGCATTTGTAAGCGACAACTACTGTGAGCCTTTATAAACTTCTCGACGTTCAATACTATGTTAGGCAATCGAACTGAATTTAGTTTCCGAAACTTATGTCACGTTTAAGATAGAGTAATTAGGCTTTAACTATTAAAATTGTAAGGAGAAATCATTCTGAACTAAGCCCCGTTATAAACCTTAGTGGATCTATTTTCTTATCACAACATAGTTACTTCAGAGTCGATGTATTTTCATGTCTTTACTATTCTATAATATGTAATGTCTCTTATGCTAGGATAAACTACACAATAAACTGTTGTAATATCTTTTAATATACTGAAACAAATTTTGAATATTCGTTTACCATAAAGTACAGTGGAATAATTCTTATTACTAATGAGATATAATAGATACCGATCGTATTATAATCTAAACAACCTTAGTCTTGTTTCATTTACAGCTATGGAGTTTTTGAAATTAAGTTTTTCGGTGAGAACTGTCTCGTGGATCTGTATCATCGATGTTTCGTCAGCAAATTTGCCTGCCCCATTAATATTAACTGTATCGATGTTACTAGAATCGTTAGTCGTAATTTACACTGTCCGCGGCTCTCAGTCCCACGGAGAAATGTACAGAACTCTACATTTAGTGTTTGTCGTGTTTTTGGTACGTTCTTCTGATATGCAGTTTTCTACTAAACTTTCAGTGTTTGTATTTGAATGATGTTTGCGATAAATGTTGCTAGTGTGCTTTCTCTGGTATGTGTTTTACTTTATCGTCCGACGTAAATCGTTCATAATAGATACAGAAGTAGTGGGTCGACCTCCTTTGAAGCGGGAAGGACTAATTTTTATACGAAAATATTCGTTCGTCAAGCCGTCGTCTTCAATTTTAAAGAAAATCTCATTGTAAAGCGGACTGCGTAAAAGATGCTTTTCGCGCTTATAGTGGTCGCTTTGTATTGAATACCTTCTCTATTACAAACATGTCTTCGCGAGGCGTTTACGAGGCTTGTTTTATAATTTTTTATTTGTCTTTCCAGTCAAGACTCGTTTGGTGTCATGTTAATTCCGCTCGATGACGAGACGATCGCTCTTCTCTCATAGTTTCGTGTTTCCAGTATTACATTATTGAGGCGTAATAAAATTAAGTTATTATTTTCGTCGAAGATGACGAGGAATTGCGTTGACGCTTGCTTCGTCATGTAACGAGTGTGGAAGGATTGAGAATATTTTTCTTCAATCACACGTCATTCTCTCTTTTATCAACTCGTTTAGACGTTAGAAACGTTATGTGATAATATTTTTAATTGCTTTTATTTGATTCTGCCGTGTTCCATGTCCCGTGAACTTCTTCAGCGGTCATGACTGTCATATTATATTCTATTATTTACTCTTTATTAAGTTTAGGTGTTTAATTTTAGTCAATCTCATCTTTTCAAAGTTCGATTTTGTTACAGTTCGATATTACACTTTTGCATTTTCGTCGAACGAATCTTTTTTTTTACGTCCGACAGTTGATCAATAACAGTGCCATAATATCTAAATACATGTTGCCTTTGCTTACAATATATAACCATAGACATCATTTCCTGATTTTAATTTTAATAAACATGATATACACAATAGGTCTTCACTTTCGCCGTTTAGTTATTTCGTAAGCATGTAGTCAACAAATTTGTCTATACTGTTCACCTTATATTATTATTCTTTCATCGATTTTGCTCTATATTAGTCTTCCATGTTTAAAAGTCTTTTATTGTTTGTCTGTTAAAATGATATATCATATTTTCTCCTTGTTTAACACTTTAAATTTACAGTCGCGAACTTAAGTGTTGTTATTACAATTTGGCAATTACATTTGAATGCGTTGTAACTAACATTAAATTTAATAATTAACAACGTGAGCTGTGAATCAACGATTGAAATTGTTTCAAATAGAAACAATCTCGAGCTAAATTAACAATGATTGGATTATTTTTATTCGAAACTGTATTAATATGATTATGGCCGAATTTTACTTAAAGTAAAATTTTATTGTCTCCGAATAATAAACGCCTTGTCTATTCTTGTTGCATACAAAAATAAACAAGATGTTTATTGACCTCAGGGTACTGGTTGTCGAATTGATTAAATTTTGTTAAGTTATCCATATGTTTTCTCATCGTATCATAGTTTATTAATTGTAATTTTTTTAGTGCTCTTATCATTTATTTTTTTAAAGTTTGTTATGTAGTAACGTTTCTTAATAACTTTTCTTATTTAATATTTCTTACTTTTTTCTGATGTATTAAAAGTCGTAACACCTTAATACTCAAACAATGAATGATTGAAATGTGCATGTAGAGGCGTTTTGATTTTTCACGCATGGTAACACAGGGTAATGATAATATTGTTTACCCAATATATTTATTGATTATTTTATTGAGATATATTTGCGATATTCGTAATTTAGTTTATGGTAACGCGCCGTATAGTACGAGACCAACAAAGACAATGAATTTTTAACTAGGTCTGTGCATACAACATTGTTTTCGGGACCACAGCTTTGAAATATATATTTTGTAGATTTTGTTATTCACAGCGTTAATTCTGTACGAGCATGTTCGCCGAAGTGTTTTAATCGAGTATGTTCAACTATTAGCTTAGAACAGACTATGTAATTAGGTTAGCTTAAGCATAACGGCTGTTTTAGAATTCGTTTTGTCTCATCTCGAAGCTTTACTGTAGTATTATTTAATGTCACTCTTTTCCAGATACTTTTGCCAGCCATAAATGTTGTAACGAGATAATTTTAATAAACTTAGATTGTAAATTTCAATGTGATTTATGAATAAAGTGTCGATAGTGAGGTAATATTTTCTCTAGATTGATTAATATGTGTACGAATGGATATGAATACGAAATAAAGTCATGAATTAACTGTTAAACGCCTTTCATTACTTTTATTCAATATATTCGTCATATTTGTGCATGTTTTAGAATGTCACAGCGATTCAGCTTTATAGAAAATTCGTAAATTTAAGAAATTGCCATAGAAACTGTTATTTATTACTGTTAAGTGATCTCTCGTAGGGTTGCAGATGCATTGCCACCTTTAAATAGCTAACTGACCAGACAATACACAAGGTATAACACTTCCACTTTACGCCGGTCTTCTGTGTTTGCGGTACTTATCTGGACTGACCTGCCCATTCGTGCAACAGATGAGACTGTTGCGTGGTCCTACCACAGTAATTATTAACATTAGATTTCTAAGTAGGCATCACTCTCCGGCTAGACATGAGTAATCTTTCAGGTCTGGGGCTTTGACTATGTGAAATTATTGTATATTTTTTTATAGGAATAATGTTTGTCATTAAAACACATTTTATTTTCAAAGTTTTATTGACGTGTCTCCACTTTGATTAACAAATTAAATCTTCACACACTAACGGATTCGTAGCAAAGCTATAATTTAGTTACAAACGGCTTTTGGGATAGCTGCTAAAAGATTGGACCATTAATGGAACCATTACAGATGCCTTTGTGCGCGGAAAAATAATATCAACGGAGTATAAAGAAACTTAATACAAATGAATTACTGACTGTCTGAAAAACGTAATTAAGTAATGGTTTATTATTAAATATCGATTTGACTATGTTATTCGAAGCACGTTTCAACCATTGGGTTTTGGAATAAAGGTCGTTATAACCGAAAACATTAATTGGCTCGCTTCAGAAAATGTAAAACATTAATTTAACGCTTTAAATCAATATCGGCGTATATACTTTTACAAAATCAAATACCTACGAAGATTTACATAGTTTCATCTAGAGCTTTACAAAATTGTTTAACACTTTCTCCGTAAGAAAGGACAGGCACTAGTTTAAGATAATTTCAAAATTATAATTCAATACATTTATTTGAGTACATATATATTGTAATGGAATCTTATAAAATATTCTATTATCGTAGCTACGCAATATAGTAACACCATCACTTACATCTAAACATATGCACTAAACCAATAAGTAGGACATTCTGTTACACAAGTTATGTTCAAATTAATCACAATTCTGTAAATTAATTTCTATAATTTAATACAATTAAGTGAGAAAATTTTACAAACCAACCGCAATCATTACCCTGTGACTACGAAAACACGTACAACTAATCATGTTACATTAAATAATCATTTTAGGAACAACGTTCAATAAACTGCTGTGGTAAAACGTAACACTTAAATTATAAAGTAACACAATAAACGAACATCGCGGTAGCAAACTAAAAGTCTGAGCGTCCGAAGCATTTTTCCCTTACCCTTTTAATAATATTTCCGTCAGGAATGGGTTTCCAATCAAAGGACTTAAGATCCTCGTCCACGTCCTGGGATTGCGATTCAAACAAGTCTCTAGAGTGATGCCGTGGCCTCTGGGTCTTACAGTGCCTCTTTAAGCTGTCTTCTCTCTTTACCTTCGCGTTAGGACCGTCATCGCATCTCGACCGTGGAGTTTTCCAAGCGGTCGGTTCATTGGACTGCTTTAATATGACGTTCGGCGGGGAGAAATAGGAGAAGTACGGACTCGAAGATTTAGCCTCCTTTTTATCGTCAAAATTGGATCTCTCAAGAAACGAAAACGTGTAATCGGCGTCGTATACTTGCTCACGTACGTAAGATGTTACGTGTCGCATATTTATGGAATTGGCTGGCGGTTCATTGCTCAAATTCCTCTGGCGTTTATAAATCTCTATGTTACCAAGTTTTGTTTGACAATTCTTTATGAACGTAATAAAATCGTAATAGCGCTCTAAAGAATCGACGCATTTGTAACAAATTGTGTTAAGGAAATCTGATTCTTCAATGACAAGTTTTAGGCACACGAGAACTTTGTCCAGCAAGTTGTTTCTACGGCAGAAATTTCCGAACAGAGACACATTGAATTCACTCTCCGACAAACAAAGACGACAAGAACTTTGTGACAATTCCATTCTGTATTCAATAATCACTGGACTTTTCAAATTTCTGGATAAGTAGTAAGTTATTAAGTATATTTTATTTATAAATTTAAGTTACCTATTTTAAGGTAAATATAAATATTCCCGCCAAAAATTTTAACAGATTAATACATCAAAGACTTCATGGGCGAACCATAGATTAATTATTCAACCTGAACTATTAAAATTGAAATTTGGATTATTTTTCACCTGGAATTAATTGGCTAGAAGTAGTTACAAGTATGGATATCCCTGCAAAAAATACTATTTTGGACGGCTTAGTTGTGTCATCTAAGTATACAAGGCTTTTGTTGTTGTTTGTATACAAATGTACGTTTCCGTCAACCGTCAACTTCTATTTAAAAAGTATGTCCACTTCATTTTGTTTATTTATTTAGTATTTAGTTAGACGCTTTGTTAAATGAAATTAGGGGAAAATTTATTCGTTTTAAAGAAATCCTTAAACTAAAATCGTACTTACTTTAACATCATTACATTATGAATATTTAATGACATTATAAAGTATTTAATATTATTTATTTATTAAATATTAGATCAATAAAGTATTGTGACTTATTTAAAAAATCACAATCCATTTTAAAAATAAAACCGCAGACAGGATTTATGAGATATAGGAAAATTAATAAAAGACAATTTTAACTGTCCGGTTGCCTAACGGAACAGTAAAAATGTTTACATATAATTAATTTAAGAACCTTTAAAATCTTATCTATAATCGACACGAAAATGTCTTAACGTTATACATGTGAAATGATGCAATTACACGAATATTTCGATAAGCCACCACACCCCGTTTTTTACTGACATTGCTTTAAACCAATATTAAATAAATAAGTATATTACGAATATTTTTTTAATAGCAAAGCATTAAATACCGCATAACTCTTCTATCGTTGTGACATTTTGAAAATGAAACGGAGGCAATTCGCTCATATAATTGTAACGGAACGCGCTTATGCACTTTTTTGAATATGTCATAACATTTTTTTAACCTTTTATATGAAATTTTGTGTCTAGACAAGCGGTTCTTTTCAAATGTCACAACTCGTCAATAACTAAAATTGATTTTGAAGGGACTAAACGGTGTCTTCCCCCTTCTTTCCCCAGAACTTGTCGAATCTGTTTCGGGCTCTATCCAGGACCTCCGATGCCGTCAGCCCACCTGTGTTGGGGCTTTCGTTTACGACAGTCGTGTCGACCACGCCGGGCGCTTTCTGTGTCGCCTCGGTGGACTTTTTTACGACCTCTCTCTCTTGTATGGTCTCTTGCACCGGCGTTTCGGGCGTCAGTTGGTTACTGTTCACGCCGTTCACACCGTTTACACCGTTGACGCCGTTAACTTTGCTCATATCGAGTGCCTTCGTTTCGTCTATCGGTGTCAGGCTTATCGGCGTCGTGGGTGTTTTGTCCGTGCGCTTACTCAGGCTCGTCGGCGACTCGCTCTTCCTCAGCGACCGTATCGGCGACATTTGCTGATGGTGTATCGGAGCGATTTCTGGAACAGTGGTATGGCGATATTATTGCACGGCCTGTAGATAGCTAGCGAGAATCTAACGGATTCAAAGATTTATAAAATAATTTTTATTATATATTTTTTTAAAATATAAAACGCTACATTCACCACACACATAACCTGCTGTTTTCAAGATTTTTAATTGCGTTAGAAAGACATTCAAAAAGCACACAAATTATGCAACATTAACTTTAATATTGATGACAAAAAAAAATAATCGTATGTATTCGTTACCAGCCTATATAATAATTTTAACTGAATTTTATTTTATTTTTGATAGCGTATAGTTTAAAAAAATGCTTATAAATTTATCTAAGAACTTTTTTAAACGATTTTTAAAAACGTCTGGAAGACCAGAAACGAGATAAATTATTAAATTACTTTTTCCTTATTGTATTCCGATTTTCGAAATAAGTAAACATTAAACATTTATTTCTTTTTATCTCATTTTTAATTATGAGATTTTGAAAATCATTTTAAATAATTTAAATTTTTAAAAATAAAGTGGGTAACTAGTATGTTCATAGTGGTTTTTTAACCAAATAAAACTGGATCTATTTACCAATTACCATTTATTATTATCTTTTTTTTATAGCTGATGTTTCGGGCATAAGGAATCCTTAAAATAGTTTCATTAAAGAAGTATTCTTAAGTAGCACATTAATAGTAAGTAATAAGCAATGATGTTTTATACTACAGATATGTTGTTAAACTTATGCTAAAGTAACAAACACTTGTCGTCCTCTTTTTTCTTATTGCCCCAATTACGCCCCAATTATGAAACGTCTGAATGTCTTCTGTGATTTTGTATGCGTATAGAATATCCGTAGTATATAATCCATTGGTTATAATATATTCATTATTAACAAATTCTAGGTACCGAATACATACGAAAATGATAAAGTAATCATTGCGTTCCAACATTTAGGTTACTTTTGTATGACATCGCTAAAACTTTTGCAGTACTTACTTTTCCAATATTAAGCAGCAAATATTGTTCTATGTAGGTCAATATGTGTTATAGTTAGCTATCATTTTATTCTCATTCGCTGAATAATTATATTTCTTATGTTATCACCGAGAATTTGTTTTTTTATGCAGTCTATTGTCTATATTTAAAGGTAATACTTGATTATCTAGAAATCTGATTTGAAAACTATTACTTAACATCACTACTTGGTGAGGAATTCTTATATTTGCTCCATATCAAAAATACTAAAAGACTATTTGAAATTTCAATATATTGTGCCTATTATACATGCTCGAATATTTTAAACCTCCTATTCTAAACTAAATAACATGTTATTTTATTATCATAATCAATAATCATTATTCGCTATTATTTTTTCTTCGATAATTACATGCGTCTATTAGTATGTTAGTGAGGAAAAATATGTTATGAGACCGGTGGTTCACTAATTCTATACCTAGGCAGTTAGCTTACAAGCTGGAGCATTGATACAACAGGAAATGATATAAGGAAGACACCACTATACCGAGAGAGCTATAGTGGGGTCTTCTCCATAGATAAGGGTAACATGCAAAAGTGACCGTTGGCATGGAGAGAAAAAGAAACTGGGTAAATCAAGTGCCATACAGTGACAGTGCACGCAAACATCGAAACAGACACACACACAGACAAGTGGATACATACGTGGTCGACGTCTCGGCGGAGTACGGTCAAAATAAAAAAGCATCTCAGTTATTGGATTAACACAATTTAATCAAGAACTATTCAATAGGTATAATAATATAAAACACATTGTTTGGTTATCTGGTGTCAATCGTGTGTCGTGCTTGTGACAGTGAGCTCTAATTGGGGCTTTGAGCCGTGCGCGATAGAGTTCACTGTCGCATGGCTGTCTGCCGCACTCATTGGGACGTGTATGGCCGATGGTCTACGCGGTGGCGGTGTTCGTCGTACCTGCCGGCTTCACGGCTGGAGCCTCTTCGGCCACGGAGCCACCCTTAAACTCAGAGCTAGGGCGCTTAACACTCTCATCTGAAATATGGTGAGTGATTTGTATGGCCCGATGGAGTGAGACAACACACGCTAAGTACAACCACAAAATAAACAAACGGCGGGCGTATTGGGAGCGAGCCCGCGCGGTCGCAGCCCTACCGAGTGGAGACGATGACAGCTGTACACCGTCCCTTTCCAACCGCGCTGGTTAGAGAGAGTCGGCGAACAGCACGCGTTCCGTCCAACGACTCGGTCGCGATACGACCCGTTCGTGTCGTTCACAATACAACCCGCTAAAGGCACTACGTGAGACAGAAATTGACACAAAATGAACGAGAAATCAAACCAGTGTGTAGTGTTCAAACAAGTGTAACATATCAATAGTAAAACAAACAGGAAAACGGTAAAATCAACATGATATTACAAAGAACGATGATCCAAAAACAAAGATGAACGGTCGAATGAATGCTTATGTAAAATTGTGTTCCTTACAGTAACGCATGAATTTATTGTGTACGTTTCACGTGTCAGTGCAAGCCTTCTACATTGTATTCGACTAGTGTTGGGTTGCTATTCACACGGAAATACTTTATGGTAAATGGACGTTATGAGGCAACTGGTCAGCTTACTGTCATGGCATGGCAGTGTGATGGCTTTGATTTGTATTCGAGTAATCGGTATCGAAAGTTGATTTTAAATTATCTGTGTCACATTACTAGTATCGTATTAATAAGATTTTATGTCATCTGTGTCCTACATATTGTCTGTAATAAAATATAGAAAATTCTTAAGCAGAAATTTGTTCGTTCCATAAATAAAGTCTATATTTATTTGTTATAATCAACTGTGGATACTGACTATGGTAACATTGGTTTGCCTACTTTAGCTATTGACAAAATTTTAATATTGATATTATGCATAATGAAGAGTATCTTAATCACATAGACTGTATTTATGTTTTAAGTTGAATGTGAAGGGTAAATGTCATTAATAGCTTCCAATTTTTTTTAAAGTTATCCATGAGTTTATACAATACAATCTTAATTTCAATTTACATAATACTTTGGCCGTTTTTGGCATTCCTTTAAGTAATTATCTTACACTATAAAATAGTTAAAATTTTAAATCGTGTACAAATATAACCATATAAATAATTACCAGCGAAATATGACCGGCCACCGTCATAAATAATCAATTAAGTATAACAATATTTTATATATCATTAAGTAGCCAGGAAACCAAATCCTCCGTGCTCTGTTAACCATCACCTCACAGTGCGCAATGAAAAAGATACTCTCGTAAGGCGGTGAGAAAAACTTAAAGAATTATAATACAATGTATATCATCTATTCTATAAAGTGGCCCAATGAATTCAGAATAGATTTCAACTCGGATAACAACTGTATCGGGTAAACCTTCAACGGCGTTTCATTTCGCTCCGTTGTCGATAATGCGACTAACTTAACCTAAAAATGTTCGCCGCGAGCCGCGCGAGGAGGTTCGACTCACCGCTCTTCACGTTCTGCGTGACGGTGAACGTCTTGCCGGTGTCCAGGGGCACCGTCCAGTTCACCGGGTCCGGGGAGCGCATGTTCAACTGCTCCGGGGACTTGACCCGGGTCGGCTCCGGCGGCGACTTCACCACGGGCGAGTCGTCGAAGAAGTGGTCCTTCGCGACGGACGCGCTGCGGTGCGGGGCCGCCTCGTCGTCTGCAACGGATCGGCGCGGTCAGGATCTCGATTCCTGACCTAACTTGACTAACCTAATCTAACCGGTTCTTTAAGTCTTTGCATCCGTCTGATTTTTTAACAAGTTCATTCGGGATAGACTGACGTGGTTTGGTGTAATGCATGAAAACAAGCAACGCTAACCAATAAATAAAGCACAGTGACCCAGTACTGTTGACTTTTCTGTTGTTATTAAGAATAGGCAACCCTAGTACGGAAAAGCACTCGCATCTACTATAGCGTCGACTGTGGATTCTCCCCTCAAGACTCAATCAGACGTGGATGGAGGTGGACTGGTAATTCTAGCTATCGTCCCAACCTCTACCAATACCTACAGCTTATAAAGACTACGCTAATTTTTTTCTGTAAAACGTTCCACATTGTTACCTCGCTTCCTCTTTTAGTATAATTAATAATGCATGGGTTTATTAATTTCAAGTTAGAACAAGTTGTGGTGGTAGTATATCTACAACAGGTTATAAAGATTATCATGCGTACAGTATCATTCTTGCCAGAAGAGTAACAAATCGTACGGAAATAGAAAATAAAGGAGTACTAATTCTATGACATCAAAACTACTACGACAGACAACAGGCATAGACAATGGATAACCTCTAAAAGGTTTTAAGTAAACTGAAATCGATTATTCTTAGAGCCTTTACGTAAACAATTTTATCGAAATGGGATTAAAATGTTGCTAGATATTATTTTTGTTTAATTCGTGTAAAGGCGCTAAAAATTAACACATGCAAAATAAAATCTATATAGGAAGGTCAGTCAGTTTGTTTTTATGTTGGAATAAATATACTAAATAAAGTCAAGAAGAAGAGTATCTTACCCTTTTTTATTTCGATAAAATACGAATGATGTTTTTATACAATAATCATATCAACTAAATTGTTTATAAATAAAGTTGATCACGCATCGCAGCTATCTTTATAAAAAACTGTATAAGGGTAACCCTATATTATCTGCTCTCAGATGTGTCTATAGATATCTTTTAGTTCATTTACAAATTATTTATTTAATTACATTATTTAATTCTTATTGTTAATTTAAATATTTAATCTTGAATTCTGTTTGATTTTGTGTTTGGTGCAAACATTTAAGTGATTCACACGGACAGGACGAACAATCACCTTTGTGAAGTGTCTAAGCCATTCCCAAACGTTTGGTGCCAATGCGCTTCCATGTGACATTGCGTTGCGTAGACGCACTGACGAACTAAATAAAAGAACAAAGAAACTCCAAATCGAAACACATAAAGCTTCGAAAGATTGTAAAATATATAGAAAATAAAAAACGAACACACAACAGTATTCACAAAAGCGTCACAGACAATACGAAGCGGCCCGGTGATCGTTGTTGCCTTCGCCGAAAAAATAAAAAATAAAACAGAGCGTCGACGCAACTGTCACCTGTCAAACTCGTACGCACCCAATTTAATGCCCACTTTCGAAATGCTGCGACTGCGTCGGTCCCGGCCTGGCGTTTCGATAGCCCCATTAACCCCACTTTTGCTTGGCGCCGAGGGCGACCGCCCACCCCTCGAAGTCGACCTAACTCTATTACTACCCAACGGCAAACCTACAGGAGAAATGTTGCCACTCTAAAATTAAAATCACCTCACAGGAAACTTTCTAGTCAGGCAAATTGTGAAAGAATTTTAAAACACAAACAACACAAAGTTATAAGAGTTACGTATGAAGATATAAATTGCTAACAGTCAACATGAACATACGAAGGGTTGCTAGTATCAGGATGTTACTACATTAACAACACATAGAACGTAGACTAAACATGTAACTCCAAATATTGAAGTTTTGTTCACTATTTAAAATCTGACTTTTGCTTGGTTTAACCATGAACGTTAATTAAAGGAAGTAATATTAATTAATAGAACTAATTAACAAAGGAATAATACTAACGTTAACCAAGCTCATAATCAGAGAATTATTTCGGAAGCATGCAATACTAGAAACATTTCACTTTTTTGACGGTTTCAAGTCAAAGAATTTACAAACATTTTACAACATTAATTTAATCAAAGTTAACAGCATTAACTTCTACATTTATGTTATTTTGTTTTTTAATCAAAGGATTTAAGAACTTCATAGGTTTACATTTAGTTTTAATATTATATTCGATTCTAATAATTTTCTTTAAAAAATCTGACACGCAGGAATTGTTCGAAATTTTTTTTATGGATCCGCGTAGATTTTTCAGTCGCACTATATAATTTATTCTTCATTCGCCATTAACATTCTACGGTTATTTAAACAATACAAGGTACAATATTTAATTTTAATTATTATCTATGTAAAATATAAAGAATATACTTAGGTATATTCTTAAAATATGTGACTGCAAATTATTTAATTTTTATTAAAATAAATCTTACAAATCATTTGGCCAAAGAGTTGGGCTATATAGGAAGGTACTAGGGACACATAAGCAGAGCGAAGTGAGTACGCACCTTGCGGCTTGTGCGGGCGCGGCTCGTAGTGGGGGGCGCGGGCGACGGGCGCGGGGTCGGCGGAGCGGGGCCGCCTCCTCGGCGAGCGGAACGAGGCCTCGGTCTTCGCCCCTGAATGCGAGCCACTCATTTACTCCTAGTACTTTTAATGTTTCAACTCCCAGAAGGTTAATAAATAGAAAGTTAGACGCAAGTAGATTTGTCTCCGTGTTACCGTGACTACTAATTGAACACTTTAGTTCTTTTTGGTCTTTGAAATATAAAATGTCATGTATTTAATTACTGTATGGTTGCTATAGCACAAAGGTAGATTTTTATCCATTATGGGCTGGATAAGCAGCTGGAGGTTTGTTTTGTTATCGCTATTGAACAAAATTCACAACTATACACCTGGTACTTTTTGGAATTTATATGTAACTCAGCACTGGAATTTCATTTCACTGGGCCTTCCTGTTGTAAGTATAATCATATTTCGCACCTTCTTGGGTAGCGCCTTCGTCGAAGCTGTGGCCCTGCAGCTTCTTCCTCTGTTTCTGCGGCGAGGTCTTGTGGGGCGAGCGCTCCAGGGCCTTGGTCTCTTGTAGTTTTGCGTGGATGGACTGGTGCGGGGCGGAGCGGAATGACCTGAACTTCTTCGGCGAGTGGTTCTTGGAGTCTTTGCCGTCCTTCTCATCGCGAGGTAAGGCCCTGTAATCGTTATTCAAACAGAATGGTATAAATGGTGTACTTATAGCATCGTTATGTATTTCGATTTCATACGTTATTATTACGGATCATTTAAATTTTTCGTATCCTTTGGGATTTTTATGTGGAACTGAAAAGAAAACACACAATGGCTATAGCTTCAGTCTGTATGCTTTTTTCTGTTTGTGTTGTATTAGACATCGCTCAGCATGTTAAACACAGCTAAAACAAAACGTGATCGGTTCGTGATCGCGTGGCCTTAAACTATAGTTGGCTGATCGCTAAACTACATTTAATGGCTTCGTTTCGCGTTTCAAGCCATTCTTGCTAGCACCAGCCTCAACGCTAACTAATCTTATGGTTGTGTACAAGCTAATAAATCCATGACGAAGGACCATAAATACTCGCCGGTACTTTAAAGAGTTTATTGCAAATTGGTCCTTCGTGCCGGATGAAGGTTTCGCCATTTCAAATATTTCCCGAGTGCATCACTTACTTGTGATTGGTGGAAGCAAGTGATAGGGCTGACAGCGAGGACCGACGGGAGACTTGATACCAGAGCTCGATTTGCTTATTGTAAAGCTGAGTGATGTGTTCAGGAGCTAGTTCGGTTCCCCAGCCGCGATACTGTCGAATCAATGATAATATCGATTATGATCGAAGCGTGAATACGTTATGACATCTGTCAATAACATTTAAAGGGCATTGTGAAAGGACATGAAAGTTTTTGACAGATAACACAACATGCTTTATTGCGATTGTTCGAGTGCAGTGATACGGGTGGCGTTTTAAATAATATTTTAAGTACATCATCATTTTAATTAATAGTTGAACCTTTTGAGCGGCAAGTAAACTATTTGACTATGAATGAATTTTCGTTACACTTATTTTTTTAAAAGAAGTAAATTAGGTCTTGGCATCGCTTTTTTATTGCAGCTCTCAGTAACATATTCTTATTTTCTATGGGTCTTTTATCTAGACGTAACTGGGACTGTGTGGGTCGAGTAGTTCATAGTAACATTATATTTTTATTATGTCACTCTCTTGGTCTAGACGTAACTGGGACTGAGTGGGTGGGGTAGGTAAAGATGTGAACGGCCGCAGACCTTGTATTCGCCGGCGCGCTTGCGCAGGTCCAGCACCTCGCGGTACCAGGAGTCGCCCTGCGCGAGCCCGAGCGGCTGCAGTCCGGCGGCCCGCAGAGTGCTCGCACTGTCCTCTACTGCCCCCGCCCCCGCCCCCTCGCCCCTTACCGCCCCCGCGCCCACCCCAGTACCCCCGCTCTCGCCCGCCTCTACCACCAACCTCTCGCTCGCTTCCTCATTCGACTTCCCTTTCCCCCTGCATTTCGTAAACGTCCCTTTAGATGCCTCGTACACGTACTGTGAGAACGGTCTAAATTTCTTTTTGTACTCGCTTTTGTAACGTTTCCTATTATCTTTGGAACGATCCTCCCCGTTGTATATGAGGGCCGATAGGGCGTTACGGAACGTCGATTTTCTGCAAAATTCCATTTCACAGTCTTAGAACTCATGCGGGCCACTCGGCGATGGTTGTGCGGCAAAACAAAGGGCTCGCGCCGAGCCTGGTTAGTAAGGTAGACATGCTCCAAAATAACTTCAAGCACGCAATGGTGAGGTTAGGATGTCAAGTCCTGGAAGAGACTGGAGGAGTAGCCGCCGGGGCGCGAGAGGCCGCCGTGCGTTGAAAGAAGTGTTAGGTGAAACAGCGACAAACAAACTAACAAAAACTCGTATGAAATTACACATCGACTTGGTGCAGGACACATTGAATATAATATTAAAACAAACCAATCTATTAGCTCTCATTCCGTATCAACTAATTTTTATCGACTAAACTACTCGGCCTAAACACCGCCACCGTGTTAAAAAAATTTAGACTTATAAGCAAATATCAAAAACGAAATTTAGACTTGTTCTGCGTTCCCAGTATGGTATGATGTGAAGGTCGGATGGGTTAGTACACAAAGCTAGACAAAGAGGTTAGAAAGCTAGCGGTGAAATTCGGAGACTTCTATTTTTCTTTCACCTGAAATATTTTTTTAGTTTTGTCTAAACATATTTATAAAAAAAACATATATATTTACATATACTACATATTATAAAAAAACTAATTATATATTAATATAGCCGGAATTTCACGGTTTACATAATAAGAATATTTTATCTATGATCAAGTGTCAATTGGAAGTGTGAATAAATTTATTTTGAAAAAAAAAAAAATATGGCGGTATAACTAATAATGAATAGTCTATTTGGAGAAATTCTCATAGATCTTAAACTTTTGTAATAACAATAATAATCAGATTCTTTTATATGTATTTTTTTTTGGAGTTTGGCACAAATATTTTGTATAGGCGGACTAAATGCCTGAATTCTCTACCAGTCAACCTATTAGGTGATGCAGAGATAAAAGGGGTAGATTTAAAGGTATTATATATTGACGGACATGTTTTATTTTAAATTTATTTATGTGGAAATGAGCGCAAAGAAGCTTTGTAGCTGAAGCAAAGCGTTCCTGACGCTACATGGGATGAATTTTGAATGTGTCACTTCTAAAAAGTAATAAAGTTTTCCTGTGCTCGTGTATAATTGCGAATATGAAAAATAAATGCATGCTAAAACAACATAAAAATATTCAATAGTATAGAAATACATCGGAGATTGTATAAAACTAAAGGAAAATAATATTACAATAGTAAGCTTGAATGAAAGAGTGGTTAAGCTGAAGCTTTGACAAGATCCATTTTGATAAATTATTTTTTAGAATTTGTTTATAAAAGGATCAATTTAAAATTTTTATTCACAATCAGGCGATAGCCCACTTCAAATTGAAAATATATGCAAGGTTGTGTCTTGAAGTGAACTATCAACCCGCGTGAGAAGTAAAGAGGCAAAGATGTGTTCGCAAGTTCAACTCACCTTTGGACTCCCGGCTTTTGGCCGTTCCACAGATAATCTTCGATGTAGCGCTTTTGGCCGTGATCGTCGTGGTCGCCGTCGACGTGATTCATCAGTGGTTCGGCTTCCACCGACCCTGAAAAATTTTATGTAACATTCCACAACCGTTTCCAAATTATTTATATTGCAAAGTTCGCATTAAGTTTAGTAGCATAAACAGACAAATATAATTATTTTTTTTGTCAAATTTTAACGCTGTTTAGCTATGTATACACGTGTTACCAAAACAAAGGGCACCGAAGTACCTCAGACGACGTTAATTTACAATAACTTTAACACTTAACTAGGTTAAGTCGACAAATTGTATCTATTGTCAGATTAAGGGATAAATTAGGTTGGTAATTTGAGAGATAAATTGTGAATAGGAAAAGTCCTTTTTTTTCTTTGTCGTATTAGTGCAAGTGTCCGCGAATGTTTTGTATTTCCTCTAATGGGGGGCTTTTGTCCACGTCCCATTCAGACTGTTTAAGCCTGTCTCGCGAGCCATTGTTGCGTGGATGCCTCTTCTCTCGGGACGGTTATTTCTGGGCCATTTCTAGTGTCAACTGCGGAGCTTGTCTCAAAATTAGAGTTGTTTTTTTAAATAAATAGACACGTCGATGTTAAAAATTTCTTGGGAGTTACTAAAGTATAAAGTATTTTGCTGCTGTCAAAAGTTTGCATTAACCGCACTATGTCACATAAATAAATATAAAATCAGATTATTTATTATCAGATATATAGAGAAATTATTATTAATTCATAAGAAGTTACTGTTTAAGTAAATTATCGTTTTGAAAATGTATATTATGCTTCATATCACTTGTGATATGAGCATTTATTTTTGAATACAAAGGGAAAAATTACAGTAAGTGAGAACATTAATTTCAGTGAGTAAAGTGCTTTACGTTATCTTACTCAACGGAAGAAACAAAACAATAATACATAAATATATATGTATGATACAGTGTGGGACGACCTCCCACTAGATGGAGTGATGACCTGTGCAAATGTGCGGGAAGTCGATGGATGCAGGTGGCTCAGGATCGTACTTCGTGGCAGTCTATGGGGGAGGCCTATGTTCAGCAGTGGACTCAAACAGGCTGAAATGACGATATAATCATACATATCATCATCATCATGATATCATCATCATCATCATCATGATGTCATCATCATCATCATCATCATCATCATCATCATGACAGACATCAGCCGAGCCACCTGCATCCATCGACTTCATCAGACCGATATTACTTAGCATTGATAACTTAATGAAATTTCTCAACTCAGCAGCAGCTGAATAGTTTTAGTCAATCACGATTGAAACTACAACCTCGGTTTGCGTTTTATTTTGAGTGCGAAATACTGCTCAATATTCCAAGGAACAGCGACACTAATGTGGTTCCTGCAGTGCTGCTGGTGCTAACAAGTCTGTCACCTTCTGCTATATTATATCTGCTGGTGCTAACAAGTCTGTCACCTTCTGCTATATTATATCTGCTGGTGCTAATATGTATGTCACCTTATGCTTTATTATATCTGCTGGTGCTAACAAGTCTGTCACCTTCTGCTATATTATATCTGCTGGTGCTAATATGTATGTCACCTTATGCTTTATTATATCTGCTGGTGCTAACAAGTCTGTCACCTTCTGCTATATTATATCTGCTGGTGCTAACAGGTATGTCACCTAATGCTTTACTATATCGCGTCGAAATACTAACCTTCAGCCGCGGCGGCCTTCTTGAGGGCGCCCATCGAGATGCTCTTCCTTGGCGCGGAGTCGGTGGAGTCTTTGGGCCACGCGAACTGGTTGCGGTACTCCGTGCTCACGGTCTCCGGCTCCTTGACCGCCAGGACCTCGCCCAGTGCTGTCGTGGCCTGGAATGAGCGTGTACCTTCGATTTGGCGAGCAAAGCGGCACAGAACTATGTGGGTCGAGACGAAATTAGGAGAGAAGCCTATTGTCGAACTTCGAAGAAAAGCCTATTGGCAATCTTGTAAGCCTATAGGCAATGCTTGATTTACTTTTTAGTAGTTTGCGGTTGTCTTGAAACATACAGTACCAACTGTTACTTTGTCTAAATAGTCATGAATAAAACGCGGGCTCTATTGAGTTAACTTGTCTCATAGTAAACATTGAAATTGTTCTCAAACTAACTTGAGGCAATTTTTCAGTCTGTTTACAGTACATACTGCAAGTTGCAAGTAAAATTCGCGACTTGAAAGATCTGAACACTACGCGGGTAAAATATTAACATCCATATGTTTCTAAATTATGCAAAGACAATGTGTCAATATCATCTCGAAGATCTAATTTAAAATTGTTACTAACGGTGATTCGTCAGAATCGTTCGGATCTATTAGTCATCTATGCAGCCATAGACAATTCATCCGATTCTCAATCTGAGCTGAGCTTAAAATTGATTCAACGGCATTTGATTACAAAAATTGCATGGTTACGCTAAATAGGCGCGAATCAGCTAATCAACATTGCTTGAGAGATTCTGTTTGTATGGTGGTTAGGTACAGTTACAATAGACTTTCGCACGATAGACTGTTGAATAATGTATCAGGTTCTCTATCATTATGCCGTTCTACTGCCAACAAGGTTTTTGCTAATTGTAAGGATAAGGGCAACAGCAAAGATAGACATTGTATTGAGGTCCTCGCTGTTGCACGAATGGGCAGGTAGGTCCGGGGAAGTACCAAGGCTTTAAGATGCTGCTGATCCACCCTTATGCTGTCGACGTTTCCAGAACAAGAACCAAGCGATTTGCTTCATCATTTATCATCCGTACAGCTAAGGAATCGAACAACCTGCCGGCGTCCGTCTTTCCGTCCGATTACAACGTAGGCGTCTTCAAGGCAAGAGTGAATAGGTTTTTACTGAGCTAGCGCGCTTACCATCAAAGGCTGCATCGCCACTTACCATCAGGTGGGATGGCAGTCAAGTGCTGGCCAGATGGAAATTAAAAAAAAAGATGATCCGCGTAAAGTGAAAGTATTATGCTTCTGCGCTTCGTCTAGTGTTGTAACCGGAGCCCACTTTATTAAAAAGTCGAAACGCATCTGCAATCCTAATGGTGTCAAAATTTTCATGGGCTACTGATCACTTAACATCAGGTGAACCGCAAGATCGCTTGCCACCATCTCAAATAAAAAAAATAGCTACAAATTGTTGACCGCTCTCTTTTGCTATAAAATAAAATCTACACCAGAAAAGAATTATCCATGTACAAGCGTCGTGATAGCTCAGTGTCCAGGTGCTCGCTTTTGATACAGTCGAGTAAGATTCGAGTTCAAATCGCCGTATAATTGATGCCGCAGTGAAATTGTTAATCGCAAACAAGAAGTAAACCTGCATATTTTCGAAATAATAAAACAATTGATGGTCTATGCAGTCTGCCAATCCACCGTAGGGTCGCGTGGTGAACTATGTCATCACACCCTCTGTACATAGGGGACCTTCACAGCAGTGGGACATACGAGTATGTAGGCCGTTAATTTTCTTTACTCTTACTATGTACATCAGTCACTGCATCATGAGAACAACATATAACAACTTTGGCTGACACGTGTAGATCTTCATCTAGCATTTTCTGCAAGTGGTGTACCTTGGGTTCGACGGTGTCCGTCCAGCGGGGTTGGCGTGGACCCTCGGACTTGCTTCGGCGTCCAGCCCGGTCTGCCTCATTCCTTTGAGCGCTCTACAAGATGAAACAGACGCTTAGATTTGGTTTGAGTTAGTTTTGCTATTACGAGTAGTTCGAGTGGACTACGTGAAAAAAATGGTTAAGAGCCGTGATAGCTCAGTGTCCGGGCGCTCGCCTTTAATTCAATATACTCGAGCAACCTGAGTTCGATCCCCGGTGCCGGCACCAATGAAGTTTTTAACTTTAAGTGCTGACTTATCACGTGCTCCGCGGTGAAGGAAAACATCGTGAAGAAACCTGCATAGTTTCGAAATAATAACAAAAAAATATATATATATTTCGAAGATATGTGAAGTCCGCCAATCCGCAGTGGGGCCGCGCGGTGGACTATGCCCTGATACCCTCTGTATAGAGGAGGCCTTTGCCCAGCAGTGGGACATGTATAGGCTGTTACTTTTTTTTACTTTACGTGAAAAATATGGTTATGCTGGGAGAAGGAAAGGACGTAGCTTACCCAAATTATGGCTGTATCAGAAAGAAGAATTATAATATATAAATAAATATTTATTTCAATGTTTGTCAGTAGCTGATACGTAGCTTATGAATATGAAAGTCTTTACTGATAAAAATGTTAGTGTCCTATAGCTATAAACTATCATTGTACACCAGTTGTAAACGGGATTTAAAAGCAAACTTTGTGGGTAATAGAACCACAAATAATTATTATTACATCATAACAACAAATATTTATTTCGGTACATTTGTACTCAACGTTATCCAGTCCCAAACTAAGCAAAGCTTCTACTATGGGTACTGGATTACTGATAAACATACTTAAGCATACTTTTGTTTAAACAAATATATTATGAATAACTAAATTAATAAAAACACTTAAACACTAGAAAAACACTATGTTCATCACACAACATTTTTCCATTAGTGGGGATCGAACCCATACCCACTGGCGCAAGAGACAGAATGACCATGAGCTACGCTAATTATCGCTAAGGTCATCATAATGAGAAAGTAGCAAAAGGAAAACTTTTTGCAAGAGAAAGTTGTAATAGAACTATGTCCCAAAGTCATAAGAACTATGTATAATAAGGTATAGTATATATAACTTGGCGAGTGGGTCCAAACTTTGAAAAATTGGGAACGTACAATATCTGTGGTGTTGCGCCACATATACTGTACCTGTGGCATTTCGTTAGTACAAAAAATTCCAACTTTTACTTCTTGGATCTTACCACAGCAGCGGAGGTATATGCGAGATGTTCTTTATCTTTTGTTATAAAACTGCTGCTGAGCATATGCTAAGCTTGTCGTATCGCTTAGGCACGTGCCAAGCTTGTCATATCGCTTAGGCGCATTCTGTTCACGATGCGTGATTCGATCGAAGGTCGGACTCACTCTGGCGCGTTCGAAGGCGGAGTTCTGGTGTGGGCGGATGTCGTCGGCGGGCGCGGGGTCGAACAACTCATTGGTCTTGTAAGCAACTCCTGGGTATTTCTTGCGGCGTGGTATCGCCGGCTCCATGGGCCCTGGAGGCAAAAGTGTCTAGTAGTTCTCTCTCATCCGCAATGTCTAATCAAAATCAAATTAAATTATTTATCCATCGAAATGAGAAACATACATTTTATCTATTGATGGTATTTTTTTAATCTACCACCGTTTCGTAATTAGGTTCCTCTAAAGGAGAAGAAACAGCCGAAAGAAACTCCGTAGGTATCCTCAAAACCTTAAAATATTGAACATATGTTTTTTTACAAATTGCTTGGGAGCGATCAACTCATTCCCAAGGGTTATTCTCAATAATTCATTTATGTTATATATTTTATTATGTGTTTTTCTGAATTATTACTAAAGTCTAAATTAAAATTGTGTCTTTACAGTTAATTTTAGTAACAGGTTTCGTGCTAACGTTGGGGAATGGAAACATTTAAAACAGTTCGACTGCACATACAGTTTGCGGGTGAATATTGTTTTGCCCGTTGTTTTGTTTTCGTTTCATTTTTAATGTGCAAAGATAGTATCTCTAAATGGCGACTCGGTTTTTCGGCGCCATAAGTGTTTTTTTTTTATAATACACGCATTGTATACAAGATGCGATCAAAATCGCGAAACCGGAATAAACCGACAACTCTCTTCATCTAGCTTGTAAGGATTTAATTTAACAAGCTATTTAAATCGATAGGTCTTTGGTCGATTGTTGATACGTAGCTTATGGATATAAAAGCTTTCACTGATCAAAATGTCAGTGTCCTATTGCTATAAACCGTGAGCTGTATACGAGTTCATAGCGACATTTAAAAGCAAACTTTGTGGGGTAATCGATACTGTCCTGCTCTGCACTTAGTCAGCCGCTGGTCTCCAACGAGCGACAGGAAATCCTTATTCACCGAAGCAGGCCAACTGGCACGGACCGCGTAAAGTTGCAACATTTTACGGCCAATTTCAGAGCAGCGTTTTCATCGCATTACGAATACTGTATATAAGAGACACTAACTAATCAAGCGTCTTCAAAATAGAAGGAGGTTCGCAATTCGACTTGATTCGATTGTATTTTTTATGTTTGTTACCTCAGAACTTTCTATTGTGCGAACCGATTTGGATGATTCTCTTTATTTGAAAGCTGGTGCATCCTATATCAATTTCATTGGTATTGGATCTTGGGCTCCGGAGATATTTAGGGAACTCCACAAAATCAATTATAAAATGAATACAAAGCGAGATATATGAAGTCGCTTCCGTTCTTCGTCATATAATAACATTTAATGAACGAGTTCTCGATGAACGGCGAATGATAAATAATGAGAAATTTGCAATAATGATTTTCTTTCAACAAAGTAACTTGCATAATATTATTGAATCATTAAAGGAAACAAAAATCTGACTGCATTGCAAATACTATTTTTATAACCTCTGTTTTTTGCGAACACAATATTGTAATAATAAATTCTTTATAACTCGCACTACTGCGACGAATCAAATGACACCTTATATGTGACAATCCATTCAGAGGTTTTTGCTATCAATCATGTCAAATAATTAGATATACATACATAAATAAATATGCTCGTAAATCATTATCCTCCTTTGTCAGGTAAAAGCGTGGATTTTGATCGATTAATTAATAATGAAGTCACTATGTAATATTTCAAAATGTATAAACTGTATTAATCTTTTCATAAAACGTGTGCAGTTTAAGAAAAATAGCGATTAATATGTAATCGATTACTTGTTTTGATACAATTTTTTTGCAATAAAAATTATGGTTATATAATTACCTTTAGTAGTTAATACGTATACTATAGTTTTTCTTCAATTAGAGCTCAGATTCAACTTTTACTGAGATGAGAGTGTCCTATAGCTATTCTTTTTTTTATGCGAAAAGTTGTCAAACGAGCAGACGGTTCACCTGATGTTAAGTGAATACCGCCGTCCATGGGCATCTGCCTCACCCGAGGGTTCCAGATGCGTTGACAACCTTTTGAAAATTGGGCTCCGGCTACTTCACTCACCAGACGAAACGCAAAAGTATTTGTCATACTTCCACTTTACGTTGGTCTTCTGTGAGGTCGTGGTACTTACCCGGACGGGCCTGCCCATTCGTGCAACAGCCGAATCTGCTGTGTGGCCCTACCACCCCATTCTAGTTGTCATACCAGCTGTAAATAAAGATAGTTCAAGACGGTCTGTTTTAAAATGGCCAACAGATGAGGAAGAGTTAGGTTGCCAACTCGCAGGCCTTTAGTTCGGTTTTTGTAAGAGATTAATTTAAACTTTCAAGAGAACCGACCAAATCAGTTATCCAGTGTCTGTATGTTTACACATGTATGGCTATATGACGTCACTACACCAATCACTGTAAAAATCGGAATTCAAGTGTCTTTTGTCGAGGCTATCCCCCGCTATAAGAGCTCCATGCGTAAATCCAAGAAGAAATGTGTTGGCTTCAAAGCACTTCTGTACCTAAGCATCCATTAGTCGAGTGGGTCCGACATAATCCCCCCGAATGAACATGATCGCTGAAAAGAAAAGGCTAGGACCCGTGCAACTTCAGGCCTGTTGTCATTATTTCTTTTTTCTCTTAAATAATTGAGCCCTTCATTGACCTGCCGACGATCAGCGATCGGATCTTGCATTTATTAAATAAGTTCTTAAATATTTCGGGACATTATTTTAGAAAACGGTACTAGAGAACTGATAAACATACTTTTCTTTGGTAAATATGATGATATATAAACACCCACACACTGTAAGAACATTGCTCATCACACAAAAATTTTCCAGTGCGGATCAAACCCACACCCGGGCGCAAGAGACAGGGTCGCTATCAGTTGATAATAAGCGTATTTACGCCTATTGCGTTATCGCTCCCTACTCAATATTAGCTCACGTGGTTCTTTAATTGCGTCCGTGAGTCCACAAGGAATAGTATATTTATTTGTGAATAAAATATTAAATAGTCCACGAACCGCGTTTGCACATTCTCTGCAAACGCTTTTACATACTTCAGACTAGCCTTTGCGTGCTGCGTTTATAATTCATACACTTAAGTCAAAATACTGCAATATGCTTTTAGCTGTTGCTTTATAAAATTTTCATTTTCTCCACAAGGACTTCCTCAGTGAGTGTATACGAATATGTGGTAGCGAGTGGCGGACTACTCAACATGCATATAATTTGAATTTTTTCATATTATGGACTACTCAACATGCATACATATAATTTGAATTTTTTCATATTATAATTGATTTCTTGTTTTCACGCGAATATGAAACTTTTTTACGGATCTTATCGCTTTTAATTAGATTTTTAAATTCGCAGCGTTTCAAACCGTTTCCAGCGTTCATGGTCACTAGGCAAAATGATTACGAAGATCATGCTGGTCAAGTCAGAGAGATTAACAATCCTTTGAGCATTATTTTACGGATTTATCGCGTTTATTCTTTTTTTTATCAATTCTTGGAGCAACTCAAATGAAATTTGAAAAGCCGTTTGGCAGCTGATTAGTTGACATCTACGATGATCAGTGTTTCAGAAACCGGGCGTGAGTTGTTGATACGTCTTGATGTCTAAGCTAACCCCTCGACCTCCGACGTCGAAGCAAATACCTCGGCAACTGCATCACGGAGTCTGATATGTCATACTTCACTACATAGTATAAAAAAAGTCGTCCCGCTGTCTGTCTGTCCCTATGTATACTTAGAGCTTTAAAACTATGCAACGGATCTTGATATATATCATACTTCATGTATATAGTATAAAAAAAAAGTCGTCCCGCTGTCTGTCTGTCCCTATGTATACTTAGAGCTTTAAAACTATGCAACGGATCTTGATAGGTTTTTTTTTTACTAGATTCAAGAGGAAGGTTTATATGTATAATACATTGCACCGCTATCGCTAGTTAAAGATAATTAAAGATACTCAAGCACTTCCGTTTCTTTTGTTGCCACCTACACGTGGATTGCTATTTAGTTTCAGCTGCGGTCAGAAAAACAAAAGCTTCGGCATCTGGCTTATCGGTACTCACCCCTGGTGATGGGCAGCACGGAGGGCGGGGTGGGGGCGGGCTGCTTCACCACCCCCTGCTGTTGTTGCTGCTCCTTGTACTCGTGCCATCTGTACGTGCTGCGGTACTCCGAGTGCAGCTGCGGGCAAAGACCAGTGTCATGAGGTGCGTCAGCGGTCAGCTTTTTTTATGAGAGAAGGTGACATGCGAGCTGCCGCATCACCTGATGTTAAGTTATCCGCCGCCCATTGACATTTGCAACGGCCGTAGAACCCTACGGCTGCGTTGCCACTTTAAGTGGCCTGGCTACCTCGCTCACGAGACGAAACGCAGAAGTATAACTTCCACTTCAAGTCGGTCTTCTTTGAGCTCGTGGTACTTACCCGGACGGACCTGCCCATTCGTGCAACAGCCGAAGCTGTTGCGTGAACCTACCACACTATGCGTACGCTTTTCAATTGACTTCAATAAGGAGATTCGCAATTCGCTGGTGTTTTTAATGTTTGTTGCCATGAAATTTAGATTTTTTGCTTTGGGTTCGGTAGGGTTATATGGTCTCACATTAATCTTGGTCGCAGGAGATATACAGGGAGGCTTTTTTTAAAGGTGGCCAAATTTACACAGGACGTTCAGGCTCGGAAGTATATTCGTTTATTGAAATAGAAACAAACTTTTTTTTTTTTTTCAAAAAAATTACCATGCTATTCCCTAAAAAACAGAACTTGTTGACAACGCGGTAGTCATAATACCCAAATTTTACTGTTCACGCACACAAACGAACTTGTGTACTGTTAGTTATGAATGATCGCGCGTTAAATAAATGAATTATATGCGTATAAATCACGCACTTTTTGAGATAAGTTCAAATGAATGTAATTAATTACTTACGAGTAATTTAAAATATTTATAATTTTTTATATAAAATTATTTATGTCTAGAGTTTAATAAAAAAAATGGATACAGTTAGAAAAGCCTCCCTGTGTAAGGGAATTTCCCAAAATGAAATACAAAATTTATCGTGACTGAGATATTGGAAGTCGTTAATAATATATACGATTCACGTTGTGATCGGAATGAAGTCAAAATAAGCTTTGGAAAAACGTCGCATCGCCTGCCACGTTCGGTGTACCGTGTACATAGCAATAGTGGCGTTAACAGCATTTTTTCGTTAAAATTTCAATACAATCCGGTCTATACGAGTTATTTGGAATTAGAACTATAAATTTTACACATTGAGATCAATACGGGTACATATTTTCGTGCATCACATAAATGTAAACTATAACTATAACCATCATAGGCATATTACACGGATATTACACAGTTATTTCATTGAAGTGCTTTGAGAAGATAAGGGAGAGATGTTGGTTGGTGCACGTGTCTGACTACGAACGGATACCCCTCGTAAATTATTCCGGGCACGGTATCTCGGTCAGTGGGGTGTCCATCAAACGTTTTATATGCTCGTTTGCTGTTTCGTTTGATCGGTTTTTTTACACGATTGCATTAAATTGGTATACGGTATACGTCCATCACGTCCACTTTTAGACACAATCTTTCACTTTTATATATTAGTCAGTGGCCCATTGATAGAATGATTTAGTAGACATCTAAATAACCAGTTTAATATTAAATATTTAGAATTAAATGACTAAATAAGTAAATATACATTACGCACATATTTTCATAGAACGTTATCTAGTCCCAAACTAAGTAAAGCTTATACTATAGGTCCTACGTCACTGATAAACTTACTTAAACGTACTTATATTTTGTAAATAAATCCATATTACAGATATATAAACATCCAGATACTAAAAAAAACACTATGTTCACCACACAATACTTTTCCAGTAGTGGGGATCGAACTCACACCCTCTGTTCAAGAGACAGGGTCACTATTAACTACGCCATTTGGATCGTGGATAAGAAATGATATATCCTCATCAACATCATTGTTTTCCAAAAAAAATTAATGATCGGAAGAACTTTCAAAGACAAAAAGCATTGTTAAAACTAAACAAAAGGTCAGAATATTTCGGCAATTGGTCAGTATTTATTTTTATTATATACCAACATATATGACGTGACGTCAATTGTTTACAAATAAATGCTGACCAATTTTTCGATATCTGCATGACCTGAGAATTTGTTACGGTACAGATTTTTTACATAAGCAATCTAAGCAGCACAGCTGTTCATTATAGTTCTAAAAAACCTATGTAAAAATATCGGCGGGTATCATACCGAATCTAATGGTATAAACTCTATACCTGTACAGTAACCAAAAAAATTTTTAATTCATTTCCCCTTTTTTTAGCAACTTTCTCAAACCGGAGCGTGCAGATAAAACATGGTCTATATGATGTCTGTAGATATATAATTGATAAGAATATTGTTCTTATCGTCCTATATATCTACGCCACGTCCACGCATCTTCTCACTCAGTCATGAAGTCTTCGCGATGAATGTCATAAGAAGATTTTTGTTTAAGAGTAACGTGTGGTCACCCTAGCACCCGTACGATCGATTTCATTTATCCCGTACACTGCCCAATTAACCTAATTTTCACGATAATACCGTAATGTAGTTAATAAAGAACCTATCTGTGGGTCAGTTGGCCAGTTCCTCGGCGATTAGCTGTTGTTAGTTGGCTAGATCGATGTATGGAACAATTTCTTAACCGGACGGCCTGTTTGATGTTTTGTTTGCGTTCGTAAAAGGACAAAAACCGAATGTCATCTAAGTATCAATCTAAGTATTCCTTCTATTAGGTAGTATTAATTATGTCAGACAATGCTGTCTAATCTAAAATGTTAGTTTATCTAAAACACTGTAAAATTAAAATAGAAGCTTAGTAGTTATTTATTAATATGTCGTTAACAATGAAATTTGGACTGCTGAAAATAAATTTATTCTTCTTCGCCTATCTGTATATATAATCGTCGCCCATCTTGACAGAAATCTATTTGTTTGTTTAACTAATTGACTGATTTAGAAAATTAATTAACCATTAGCACGTTGTACCCTGAACAATCAATTAATCTATGCAAACTCGACATTTTTTGTAAAACTGTGGGTAAATCAGAGCTACGTTGACAATATTGCCTAAAGTAAGCTTCATTATTTTTATAAAGCTTTTGGTCCTTAGTTATTCTTGAAGTGATAATTAATGAATAGATTACTCGATAACAACTTGAAACTATCCAAGAACTTGTCCAAGCAGATAACGGTGAGTGTATTAAGAAAAAAATTATATCTTATAAACGTTGCATACTTAACTTTCTTCTATATTTTCAATATCTTCTTCACTTTCACTATAAAAGAACTAACGCACTAGATATTTTCTACAGAGAATAGAGGAAAAAGAAGAGGAAGAGGTTTCCTTATTATCACTTGCAACGATCAGGTGACGCAATTCTCTCTAATACCACAACGTTGCACTCTCACTTCTGTAAATGGCGGCTTGTAAAATATTGCGAGTACTTAGAACTACAAGCGATTGCTCGTAAGTTGAGTGTATCTGTTTCTGAAACACTGATCATCGTAGATGTCAACTAATCAGCCGTCAAATGGTTTTCAAATTACAATTTAGGTACCAAAAGGATGGTTAAACTCTCTGAATTGACCAGAATGATCTTCTTTATGATCAGAATGATCAATTCAAAGAGTTTAAACATCATTTTGGCAACTAAAATGAAATTTGAAATTCATTTGACAGCTGATTAGTTGACATCTACGTTGATCGGTGTTTCAGAAACCGGACGTTAAGATCTCACGAGAATTCTGAAGAGCGGTCGTGTTGCGTTTAAATAACACGAATAACAAGAATAGATCGTATAAAGCTTTGAACGAGGTAAAATAACTGTAATTAAGGATAAATCACACGTTTGTCTGTGTGTTTGTCGTTTGTCCGAAATTTTAAACATTTGTTTGAGGAACTACCTAAAAACACTCTGACTGTATTGAGTGTAATATTTAGTATGAACAAATGGAGGAAAGTAAACACTGGAGTTAGTGTATAGCTATTAAAACGATAACTTTAACTATTAACTTCAGTTTAGAAGAGTTTTTTATTTGTCTATAAATTTATTTTACTAAGAGAGCCCAGATAGGATAATATATGCAATCATTTTTATAGATACTTCTGTTATAAGTAGACTAGTTATGCTGAGTGCATACTTAAGCAAAACATGATTATATTCTTTTGAATTCCTTTTATGCATTAATTAAAACTATTCAAATTAAAAAAACAAATGGAAGCACTGAGTGAAGATTGTTATTGTCTTCTAGTAGTACCGTCGTAACAAATTAAAATGTGAGACATTAGATTTTACGATTAATAATGAAATGGAGATTAAGGGGGAATAAGTTTAACTAGTGATACAAACAGTACATGGGGTAAGTTTGACGATTCATAATTACAATTCGACTAGTGATGCAAACATAGGATAAGTTTAACGATTCATGTTTAGAATTTGTTGGCGACAGTCTTCCCCGATCGATGCCACGTCCGTTTCTAAGGCGAAGGGATGACCTCATCGATGCTCTGTCCCTATCTACGCTATTTCTACGCAATAACTTGACTGCTTGCTCATAAACCTACATAGGATAATATATTCTTTGGTGTGGGTATACTATTCGCCTTCATATATACGCATATATGAAGGCGAATAGTACCCAAAGGCTACAGAAAGTGTACACAGTCTGCTAACCATTATTAAATCTGTGTAATTGATATTGAATGTTTCTTCGCTTGTTCCTTACGAATGACACTCCATTCGTATAATTGGAATCAAGAAGAATCATGGGAACGTAGAACGTAGTTGTGTAGTATATATCAACTATAATATCAACTGTGAAGAAAAGAGTATATAGAAACAGCCTGTAACTTTTGTTTCCTACGGGCAATGTAATCTTAGGCAATACCGGGGCCTTACGGTACACAAGAATTTCGTAGCATGTTGGAAGAAAAAAGGTTTGTTGCAGTAAAAGCCTATACATATCCCACTGCTGGGCAAAGGCATCCTCTTTTACGGAGAGTATCAGGGCATAGTCCACCACGCGGCCCCACTGCGGATTGGCGGACTTCACATATATTTGTAACATTTTTTTTGTTATTATTTCGAAAATGTGCAG